AACAAAAAAACAGGTTATTTTCTTCATTCCAGCTGCATGTCTCCCTGAAAGATACAATTTACGATTCATTTATTTTTACATGAATGTTTGCTTGTGAAAATATCTGCAAAGACAGTGCTGGATCCTAAAAATTTCTGGTTTTATCTACGAAGCACACTCACACAGTGAGAATGATATAAGACTCACAGAACTCCATCCCTGTGACTCTTTCATGTGCCAACCTCAACAGAGGTGCAGCTGCCGGACTTGCAGAAAGCTCAAGCAATTGGCCATTGTGCATACAGAGAAGCTTGGGGGTGGGGAGGAAGAGGGTTAGAGAGAACCAAAACCCATTGCCACCTCATCCAGGTGTCTGACAGGTTGTTCACAGGTCACACAGAAATTCATGTTGCTGGATTCATGCTTTTTTGTCTAAGAAAAAAAAAATATTTCAGAACTGATTATCACATAATATTAATTAGTTAGGAAGGCTTACATGCTCTGCAAATGCCTCTGCTAAGAATAGTCTAAACATAGCATAGGGGTGGGTGGGTTTTTCACAGGCATCATCATATAGCTCAGAAGGAGACCAGACAGACGTTGTCTCAGTTTGTCCCAGCAGCAAAGCCTTAAAGTCAGCTCAAACCAATGTGCTTGTTAAAAAAACAAAACAAGTGAGCAGAACACAATCTCCACAGGACCAAAGACAACCAGTGCCCTTTCCACTGAATAGCTCCCAAATATGAATTTTTATAATCATGACTGACACAGTATCTCTGACCCACTCACTGAAGAGCAAGAGACTCCAGATCCCATCAAAAAAACCCTGAATTCCAAAGAGGAAGGCTTGGATTTTCTTTTGTAAATGTCCAAAACAACACATGCCATCTGGGAATATTTCTACCCTTATAACAAATGCAACCAAACCTGATTCAGCTGAAGAAGTGTGAAAGTCAAATTCACTTAGAAAGAAGGATCTGTTCCTTCTATTTCAGACCAGCTGATGGAAGAAGGCTGGTGTACCTGCCCATGCTGTGTTTGAGATCAGGTTTGCACAAGTTTATTGTAATTGGTCTGCTTTTAGTTACTCAAAATAGAGGAAAAAACCCATGGAGAATTAAAATATTACTTAGGGACCATTTTAGCAAAATCAGGGCATTTCACTTCCTAATGTGAACAGCAGATGTCCTCCTTACCTTGAGTCAGCTGTTCAACAGCTCTGCCAGCCGCCAGCCTAGGGGGGTATCCCACTAGGGGAAGGGGTACTTGTGTTCATATTTGACTTGTCAGAAGGATAACGCTCCTTGTCATAGTCATGACTGATGTTCAATCTTTGCGAGCCCAAGTCATTTAAAATGGGAGGAATAGTGTTTCCATTTGGTTCAATTTCATCTCTTGGCGTGTTCTGATGCTTAGTCCCAGGCACAGTTAAGATTTGTTTAAAGCACTTCAGAATATATACCCTTCTCTAAGACATTGCTGGTTCAGATGCATAAATAATAAATTGGGTCTTTCATCAGTGCAGTCTGCATCCTGTAACACTGGCAGGATCTGACTAATGAATGTAACTGTACACCATGCAGACCAGTAGTTTACAAAACAACTTAGAACAGAATGAAAAGTTTTTAGATCAGTTTAGTGAGAGAACTGAAAGTTTTAACAATTCTTAAAAAAACAATATCCACCTTTCTTTACTCACAGGCTTTCACACCATGCCCCACCTCAGTGAAGAGTTAAGATTGTCCCAGTATAAGATACTTCCTTGCAATGCGCTGCTGTCAAAACCCATTGCTTTTCCACAAGAGCTCCTCCACACTCAGTTAAATTCTTCCTCTGGATAGCAGCCATATAAGGCCAGTAATGAGGTCGCACAATGTGTTCTCCAATAATGTCTACGCATCCATCTGAAATGCAACAGAGGTGCAATTATGTTACGTGTTATCCAGAGGAATTGAGAATTTGGATATTTTTATCCTTAGATGAATACTTACTGAAAAAACCTGCTATCATTCGAAGTACCTTTAGAAAGAGTCAGAAATGTAACTTGCCCAATATAGCTAGCTGTCATTTTTATTCAAGAGTTAGAGAACAGCAGCTCTTCAGATTGTTGAATGAGATTATAGCATTGAAATGCTTATTTCTATAGCACAGAATCTTACTAGTTATAACCCAGTTTGAAAACATGCACATGATGCAACACAATGTAACACATTTCATATTTCAGAATACTCTTCCAAAGCTCTTTTAAAAGAAAACATGTGCGTTTTAGAATTCATCAGTTCATAAAAAATCCAGCTTTAGTTACCCCAAAATCACTCTCCATCCTCCATCTTATCCTGGGATTATTCACTCACTGGAGATTATCTCTGCAAAGAGGGTCCTAAAGACATAATTCTGTTCAAGTCCTTTATGTCTTTGCCCTCCTACTAAGAGGCTAGCTTAGAAAGTAGCATGAGACAAATGGGCAACAGACCCATGTTCTGTTCAGACAGAAGTCTTGTGTTTCCAGAACATAATATCTAATGCTGGGTTCTTCTTGCCAAATACACTCAACTTCATAGAAGTAACACTGATTCTCTACAAGGCTTTGAGGACTTTCTGCGTCAACTACATCTACTTGTATTTCTGTGATACTACATTTTTCTGTGATATCACACAGTAGATAGATGAAAATAGGGAAGATGAGCAAATAGCTGAAGCAGGAAAGATAACAGGTAAGTATCATGAGGCACTGGTATCAGAGAAGGAAGTAAAATAGGTATCCCCAGCATATGTTCTGTCCCTTCCCCAGTGAGTCCTTGGGACTGTGTCCCCCAAATACTGAGGGATGTCCAGACCAACACACTGGAGTGGGGTTGGGGATAGGGCAGCCCAGGGAGGAGATAGAGAAGGCACCCCAGCTCTGCCTCGCTCTCCTGCGCTCCCTTCCCCAGCCCCAGGAGCCAGCTCAGGTGCACAGAAGCAGCTCTGGGAGGCTTAGAGCTGAGGTTTAGACTGGTCTCCTGAACTGGCCTTGTAAAATCACACCTGATGTTCACCTTTAGCATCACAGGAAACAGCATAAAGGAAAAAGGAGCATAGTCACTGGGGAAGAAATGTAATCAAAATTATAAGGGACAGAAGTGAACACAGTACTGAACAGAGCTGAAAGTGATCCACTGACCCATAGGCTTAATGCCCATGGGAATTTTCCTCAGAGGCAAAGGCTGAATTCAGAAGCTGGGTAAACTCATTGTTCTTTTACACAGGCAGTGGTTTCTGCTGAGAGAGTGGCTACGCCTCACAGGCACTGCGGGGAGAGAGGATGGAGCATTTTGCTTACATTTAGGTCAGTCCTCTCGAAGACAAATTGCTTATGCAGCAGAGGAGCTAATTAAATGATTTGACAATGCACTCAAATAGAGAAGGAAATTTTGCTTTGAGGTTTCCCTTTACATGAAAAAGGCCAATAAATTCTAAACTTAACCATAAATTAATTTATTGCCATAACCAAAGGAGCCTGGCCAACCTGTTGCACACCCTAAAATTTGATGTAAATTTTTCAGCCTCATCTACATAGGTTATAAGGTGAAGGTGATATTCTGTCAAAAGCATTTGGGTACAAAACTAGAGGCTGATTGTATTCATATCAGTCTGATCTTTAATACTTATGCACAGAAAGCGATCAGTTGTTATCAAACAGTAGTTTATACTGCATATTCCTAATTTTAATTGTAAATGTAAATGGGATCTCTCAGGATTAGAGGGGATTTTTTAAAAGGCATGGGTATGCTAATACTTATGGAATTACAGAAAAATATCTTTAGAAGTAAGTAGGATTTAGAAGTAAATAGGAACATGCTTAGCTATTGAAAAAAAAATATATAAACAGGCTATAGAAGAGGTGGGTTTAGATGGTAGGCATGGATTTATCTTAGTTGCCTGGAAAACATCTAGGAACCTTTGCTAATGTTTTATTCTGTGTCTCCCAAATAGGTTTTTCTTGAAAATAGATCAAGTAAACATAGGATAATACATACCAAGTCTCTTTTCACTAGACATGGCACCTCATACCAGAATATCCAAGGATCAATCATTGTAGTACTATGAGTTTAAGCAGATCTCAGAGTACAGGATTTTTGCTCACAAGTGGTCATCCTGATCATGTCTGTGCGTAGTCCAGAGAGGAAACAGATTCAGTATGGTAAGACTGCTAATTAAAATGTCATAAAATCAGACTTTGGCAAATATTTATAAATGGCAAATGAAAGAACACTACCCATAATACCTGGTGGTACTGTGTTTGGGAGAAGATTGAAAAAAATAGAATACCAGTGCTATGAACCACTGATAGTTACAGGTGATGTTCAGGTAGTGAAGAGAAAAATGAAAGAAAATTAAAAATTTGGTGTGGTTTTGTAGTGCATGAATCTGTCGCCATGTCACATGGCTGACCGTGTCGCTAATGAACCACATCAGTGAAATAGCTCTACATCTGCCTTCTTCAGAGAAATCACCAACAATTACCCAATTAGTGCAAAGCTACTGAGGTAGGATCAGATGCTGAAAGGAGCAAACTTCAGATTCCTTGGCCCTGAGGGGCTCCTGAACAGCACAGATAACTCCCTTATGGGGAACGGGCTGGGATTCATCTCTGATCTGGAGGCCACTTGGGTTGTCTAGAGTGAAACTATATGTCTTCATCTGGGCAACTGAATCAAACCTAAATTTATGTGAGCTGAGTCCCACTGTGTAACATGCCCACTGGGCATGTAGTGACTTACAAGTTTGCACCCCAGTACTCACACATTAGCTCTCTGCAAATGCTACAAAGAGAACATGAAGGGGGGCAGATCATCTTCACACCACAATAGATGATGCAATTTCTCACTAACACCTATGTTGTTGGGGAGGCTTTTTGCCTTTGTCACAGTTATTAATGTCAAATATCCTTAAGAGGAAAACCAAAACCCACATCCTTTTCATTTATATATATATATATATATAAAACAGTGAGTAAGGGGGAACACCAGACAGAAATCATGGGAGCTTTCCTCACTCTGTCCACCTCTGCTGCTGTCATTCTTCTGGTAATTCGTGGAGGTAAGTGCCTAATTTGATTCTTTTGAAGGTAAATGCTGATGTACAGAGTTCCAGGTAAGCCACACATATTAATGTAAAGGAAGAAGTCACAATTATTATTTGAGTTCTTATTAGCTCTTTTCCACTGTCTGACTGTGTTTGATCTTTCACATAAAACAAAGTAATTTCTGTATGGGTAGTATTAATTAAAGCACAGAGGACAGGCTATTTGGAGGAGTTCTGAGGAGTTAACATAATGATTATCTGACCTTTCTCTCCAGAGGCATACACATACATTAATCTCTTTATTTTCTGTTTTTCTGAAAAACAAATTCATGTAATGTGACTTACACTGTATAGCTGTTTCCAGATGTCTGCATAAATCATATGTTGTACAGTATTTATCATGTGACAGATCTGAGGTTGTTACTCACAATGAAAGCTAGGAAATTAACCATAGCAGTGAACTTCAAAAGAAATCTGTGCAAGAGCAACAATACTTTGATGTTTTTCTTGTCAAAGCTCACCCCACTGATCTAATTTTGGTCTCACTGAAGCATACCAAAGTAGTACTGCTGAACAATTTTAAAAGTCAACCCTGAAGACCAGTATTGTGTCTGTATACTTTGTAATTACATTAACTGTTTTTTTCAAAGAGATTTTGAGTGTTTTACAGTATTTATTAGCCCAGCTGTGTGTATTGTGGCTTATTTTTACTTTTAGGTTTTTGTGTGGATATCATTGGAGGAAATGAAGTAGCACCACACTCGAGACCATTTATGGCCCTAATCACCACATCAAATGAAGAACCTATTTGTGGAGGAGCTTTGATCAAGGAAAACTGGGTGTTAACAGCTGCCCACTGTGATGTGTAAGTTCTTACTCTGATTCAGAGATTGTCCTCATTGAGTATCTGGTGTCTCAGTTCAAGAAGGAAAGTTAATACCCCTCGTGGGTTTGTTCATTTAGCATGACCATGATCACGTTCTGATTACTGTGTTTTATAATTTGTACTGACCATGTGCTTCAGTGAGTAAAAAATAATCTAACAAGGTATACTGATCTTCACCATTTCTGAAGAGATATTTTACAAGCTTCTAGCTGCATGCAAGCACAGAATAGCAACACTGAAGTAGTGAATTTGGGTGAGAGGTTTATCACTGTTTTCTCAGTCAGCCAGTGCACTAGGCCATTGGACAGGCCAGTCTAAATAGCTGCTCAGAAAACATAAATACTTGTAATTTTATTCTGTAAAAGATATGCAATTCACCACATAAAGACACACCATGCAGTTATACCAGCAGCAAAAATTCTCCAAACAGATGACAGGAGACACTGAGAAATCTCTCCTCCACTGGATAAGTCAGCTTGTCAGCCGACCTTTCTTCTCCCTGTCTGACTCAAGATGCGAATGGCTATTTGGCCCTGCAGAGTCCCTCAGCAAGGCAAGATGTGAGGTTTTAATGACATCCCACCCCTTGCCTTTGTGGGGAGGACTGGAGCTGCTGCTGAGCCAGACCTCATACAAGCTCTGTCAGCCACCTGCCTGAGAATCACTGAACTCTGCAGACATCAAGAAATGAATCCATCTCTCCTGTCCCCATCCAAACATCCCAAATATGGGACCTACTACAAAGAGACCATAGGGCCCAAAAGCTGTCATATTAACATAACATAAAGAGTGTTTCCAAATGAGATTGCATTTAAGGGAAAATACAATAAATAATTAACCTAATGATGTTCAGTTAACAGTCAGACAGCTCTTAACAGCTGAAGGAAATGAGCAACCACTTCCTTAGGGTTGTGTTTTCCACAGTAAGATGCAAATGAGGACCAACCTACCCATCTGCTCAAAGAATATTCTCCCATTCAGCTGTAACATACATTGTTCTCCCGCCAACAATTATACTCATGGTCTGATATAAAGGTCTGTTTGGACTGCTTGACCAAGGAATGCTAGACTCCTGGTTTCCACACCAGAGAGCCCCAGCAGGAACAACTCTGTCACCACTTCAGTCAAGTTAGAGAAAGGGAATGAGCTATGTCTCACGCAGACTCAGAAAATGGTGTTGCAATGGTGTTAGGGCAAAGCAATAGTACAAATCAGTCCAGTCATTATGATCTCTGAACTAACAGTGCTGTGAGCGAAGCCCTAAATTTTCAGCACAAATTGTGCAGATTGCAGTTGGTGAGACAGTCAACCTGATGCATCCACCCCTCATTCAGTTCCCAAAGGGAAACAATAGGAGTAGGTTCGGCATCAAGTACCTGAACACTGCCTGTGCTCCTGGGAAGCTGAATATAGGATAGTGTGAATTTTGATTCACTGAGTCAATTTTTTTAACTACTTCTAAAAAGGGGGTAATCTGTTACATTTTTCTAGGTTACTGTTGCTTTTTAGGCCTGAGAAAAGAGACTCTGTAGCAGCTGGACATTATAGCACCACATTTAACAGCAAAGACTTATGGAGTTACAGCAAGTGAATCCCACTAACCACATTGTCTCCTCTTCTCAGGAAAGGAGGGAAAGTTATTCTTGGAGCTCATTCACGGAAAAGAAATGAAAGAGAAAAACAGGTTTTTCAGATTGCAAAACAAATTCGCTACCCATGCTACTGTTCCAGTTCTCTGGAAAACGACATTATGCTTCTGCAGGTATAGACTTACACACCAGTTATGGAATACGCATCTCCTATGATGTACCAGTGTCTTCCTCCTTGTGAGGGAGATGAGCCAAGGGAGTTTCTGGTGTCTTTTTTTCTGGGGTGATATAGTGTGGTCTGCTAACCCAGCAGACTTGGGAATTGGGGATGCACTGGGAACTAAGGCAGTCAACAATTCCTGTAATGCATGACAGTGCTAGAAGTACAAAAATTCTGGAGCTTGACCAAGATATTTCAATTTCTGGATTTTCAGTGAAAGAATAAAGATTATCCAGAGAAAGAAGCATATTCTACACATAGAAATATTTTGGTTAAAAACCCTAATGTTCTGTGTGAAAAACAGTTCTAATTAAAAATGTCTAACTTCTCTGATTCTCAATCTTGCCAGCTTCAGTGATTATTGTTATTTTGTCCTCCCAGTGGTCTGAAAGCCAGAGAAGTAAAATAGGGTATCTTTTAGAGCTAATATTTCAGCAGAAGCTAATCGGGCTTTCATGAGACAAAGAACATTCATTTTCCTCATTTTTACATTGATTGCATAAATCCTGTCACAAACAACTGAGAAGCTTCAAAAAGGACTTGCAGTAATCCCCCATTACCATAATGGAAAAGATCCAATGGTTAACTGCAGGGGCCTCTGTTAGACTCTGCCCCGAAATAACTATTTTCTGTGTCTTTTACAGCTTCAGGGAAGAGCAACACTTAACAAAGCTGTACAAGTCATACCCCTGCCGACTACAGATGATGATCCCAAACCAGGAACAACTTGCACAGTGGCAGGATGGGGACAAACTCACAATCGTGTGAGAAAGTTTTCTGATACCCTGAGGGAGGTCAATATCACTGTCATTAATAGGCAAATCTGCAACGACAAAAATCATTACAGAAAAAACCCCTTTATAACAGACAACATGATATGTGCAGGGGCTAAGAATGGAGGAAAGGACTCATGTTTTGTAAGTATATTTACTGCCTATATCCACATAGATTATATTAAAAATAAAATATAAAACACTAGCTTTTACACATTTATAATTTCTGCCTCTCTTCATTTCAATTAAGAACTTTATTAAAAATCAGTGAATTTACCAAGACTTGTTCTTCCAAGCCTTAAAATCAAAACTTCTCATTGATAAATTCACCTTCACAGATTGGATATTGTGGTTTTATCCAGGCATGGCAGATAACTATTCTCTGCTTCAATAAAATGACTTTAATAGAAAAATCTCCACAAAATAGCTTATGAGTCAATTCTCAACCAGCTAACCTCAGTGGAACAATTTCTCTGATATCAGCAGACTTTGAAACAGGTTTTACTGAAAAAAAGCATTATGACTGAGTCCCAAGTAAAATGCACAGCTATGTAAGAACTACCATATTTTAAAAGATTTAAATATTGAATTAACAAAATTACAAAAAGGTACCAATTTCTAGAGAAATTCTGCTTTTCAAGAGGAAAGTTTACAGCTTTTTGTTTTCATACTCAAAAAGACTAACAATTTCTTAGCACTAAGCTAGTTTCACTCCCCATTATTCACACTTGAAAGATCAGATTGAAATCTTTTCCTTTTGTTTGCTAATGAAAATCTTAACTTCCAAGGTGGAAAAAAAAGAAATCCACAATGGTACTGTCTAAATTTTTATTTCCTCCATGCAACTGGTGCATTTTTTAGTTTTTGGAAGTTTGAATGACAATGGCTTTTTTTTCCTTATACCAGGGGGATTCTGGTGGACCGTTAAGATGCAATAATGTGATGAGAGGTATCACTGCTTTTGGGAAGGCAAACAAGTGTGGTACTGTTGATGGCCCTGGTATCTACACTCGACTCACAAAGAAATACCTTCAGTGGATATGGAAAATCATAGGAGGAGCCTAACAGATTCAGTTTTCACCAAGTGATTTACCACTTAGTACTTGTGTAACAATATCTAGTTTTGAAATATGCTTTCAATAATAGTTTCTTTATATTCGTAAAAAGAGATATTCCCATGCTGAATTTTAGCAGCTTGATGTCTTTACAGATGAAAATATATATATGTCTATTTTCAGGACAGATGTAATCTTAACACAGCCAGAACACAGTGCTCTGCTACAACAGCACTTGTAGTTTATACTGTCAGCCATGGAGTAATTTGACGGGTATTTGTGACTCAGGCTTCCAACATTCTTGCGTTGCACATTCAGACTGACCTCTACATAGATGAGTATTTGTGACCAAGAATTTAATCCAGCTGTTTGTGTCTTCACTGCATGTTGAGTATACACTGCACTCTTCTGTATCTGGACTTCTTCTAACCCTGAAAGTGAGATGCTATGTACAAGTCCAAACACCTAAAAAACTTGCTAGTTTCTCTGCAGCAGAGCTCCTTATTTTACAGGTGTAGGGGACTGCTAAGCTTCTGCAAATTAAGTTTCTCAGCAACTGTATCTGATTATGGGAGATAAGAAATGTGCATTTCCTAACTGTCTTGTATTTGAAACCTCTAGATTTCATTTCTTTATGTACTCTACATTTAATAAAGAAATATCAATAAAAATCTACTGTGTGCAGCTGTCAATTTATGTGGAAAACTCTGTATGTTGCAGTACAGATAGTCTGTGTACATAATGTTTTGGATGTGCAATGTGTTTGCAGAATGCACCATGATCAGCAACATTACGCTAAAAAATCAGCTGAAAACCCAGAGAAATTACAGAAAGTGCCTCATCTGGAGTATGGGTATGATAACGCAATATTCATAAAATAAAACAATCTTAATTTTATTATATTACTACTGCTGTTTCAGATATGCAGAGAAATTGTTAAGTGTTTCAATAACCATTTGTCAAATAGCAAGCAGACCTACTGTGAATAATGCTTCTGCCCACATCTGTACTAACAGCCTTGGGCATTTTCAATGCCATGAACACCTCATAAAGAGATTGGGTTTATTTTGTGTTGCTTTGGGGGGTTTTACTTGGTAGTAGGCATTAGCTAAGAGAAAGCAGAGGCCATTCAAAGGGCATAGCAATCTTGCATTGATTTTAATTAAAAAATTATTTCTTGGTTCATAATGAACACTTAAACAGCACTTATAAACACAACATAAGACAATACTGACTAAAACTTTTTTACACAACTGACTTCACCTGATCTTTTTGAGAAAAAAACCCAGTAGATTTGTCACAGAGAAAGAATGAAGGCCGAGGAGGAAGAGGGCCTAAACTACAGGGATCTCCACTGAAAGTTTTGATGCTGAACATCTTCTTTTACGTTTTCTGTCCATTACAAACATTAAACAGTCAGGACTTTTCGCATTCCTTACACTTATTCCCAAAACGTTTGATCTGACTCTTGGGCTGAACACACAAATGAGCACACAAACACAGACACAGAGACGCACACAAACAGAAGCAAAGCACAAGCAGAGAGAAGGATTTCCAGCCCACATTGCAACAGTGAAAATGAGAGGACAATTTGCCCCACTGACTGGTACTGAACCCAAAATGGTGACTTTGATTCTGTCTTTAAACACAAGTAAGTTGAGTCTATACTTTTCTATTCTTGCAACCTACCAAACCCTTGCTTAGGAAAGAACTGATTCTAAAAACCTTCAGAAAACAAAAATATCTTTATAAATCTAGTAAAAAATCTGTGGCTGATCTTCAAGACAATTGATCACCTAGGGCTATTTCACTATTCCATACATTAGTCTTATTTTTTTTCCTCTTTGCCCATTTTTTGACTGTCTTTCATCCTGTTATAGCTTCTTTTTCATTGTACTGCTCTTTCACCTGCTTTTTCCTCTTCCCTGGAAGTCACAGGCAGCATCCTCCTAAGTAGAAAATTCCACTCACAGCCTATCATTCAGTATTTCTCCATTTTTCAGACAGTAGTTCTGACCCAAGTGTTGCAGAACCTTAGAGACCAGGAAGGAGAGGTTCTGACCAAGAAGTTGTTTATAATGCATGAAGAAATGTGCAGGAAAGAATGTGAACCCTTCCTCCTCTAGCTTGAAATTTAGGATCTACCCCAAAATACTTTAAAAACTTATCTTTTTTACGTGAGTGTTATTTAGTGAATTGTGCAAAATGAGCCAATGGAACTGGACTTACATGGTGAACAAAATATTCAAGCCTCTGTCACCACTGCCAGTAGTGGAAACCTGTGAAAAAAAGTAGTGAAAAAAAGCAGAAACAAGAAGATCAAACTGGGATTTTCTCTGAGGCCATGCCCAAAACAGCTCCACCACTATGGAATGGAACCCATACAAGTTTATGTACTATCCAAGAAAAATGTTATGATGATTTGATGTCATTGTGACATCTACAATGTAACAATTTTCTTCTCATTGTGACTATATGAGATAACTGGGGGAAATAAACAGGTATAAACTGCATTACACAAACTAATGCAACATTTATGTAGGTAACATCAAGACTGATCATATAGTGGCTGAAGAACAGGGGACTGTCTGATAAAGACTAGTGCATTTATGTCCGGAGGCAAAAGAATTCCCCAGTCTGAGTTTCTTTAATCCATTTCATTGTATTACAGACAAACACTTTTTTACATTGGTACATCTGGGAAGACACATGCCCTGTATGAGCAGTTGAGTTTTTCCTCTTGTAAAAATGATTTTTGTCTTGAAGTTTTGGATTCCATGTGTTGTACAGTGCTCCACCTTGGACGGGACTATGGAGATGAAGGCCTGAGTTTAGGCAACTTAAATTTTACTTAAATCCTCTGTGCCACCTCTGGAGACTCAGCCTTTAGTGCATACAGATCTCAGATGCAGAACTAACTGACCTCTTAGAAATGGGTTCTGATTTCTGTCTTAGACTGGGTCTGAACAATATACCAGGCATGTAACAGGTAATGAGCTAAAAATATGCCATGTTCTACAGGGAGTAAGTCAGGATTTCACATTTCGCCCAAGACTTTGTAGGTTAAGACCTCTGCACTGGCAGGATGCGGCAACTAGGCAAGAACAACGATCCACTTTCAGCAACTGCACACTCTATACTTGCAAGTATTCAGTAACATTACCTGCAAAATATTAGTGAAGCAGAATCATGCTGACTATTCAACTCCTCAAATTCCTACTACAGAAAGATAGAACTTTGCCATGTGAAAGAAACTGGCAATAAAGGAGCCTATCTAGAAAATAAAGACATCCATAAAAGGCACTTCAGTATATGTTTCATTTCACTCCAGATTAGTCACAGTCTGCAAATCAAATGCATGTTTAAATGCTTTCTCAGACATGGTCACAGAATAGAGCTACAGGTCACACATCCAAGATTCTCTTGTATTTATGAGCTTTCGGTTAGTTCTGTTGCAGTCAGTGACTTTTCACACTTTTAGATATTATGTTAAAGTACCTCTGGGGCAATACAGCTTGACCACTCAGTAATGAACAAGCATAATTAACTAAGAAATTAGCACTTCTCAGTCTGAAAGGAATGTATTTTCTTATTTGACACTTGAGCATCCAACAGATTATAGTTTGCTTCAATAGTAACCATCTCATTTCCTAACACAGCCCCCTATCCTGTGTTATACACCTCTTCCTATATTTGGCAAACCAATACCATTAGATACTGTCAAAGGAAAGAGAGAGAATTTCAGGAAGAATCCAAAAAATATATGAGTAGAGTCTAATTCCACTCCTTTTTGCCATTCAAAAGAGAAAAAATGTTTTTAACATTTTTAAAAACTGTTACATTATTTTAAATACTATTTTGAATATTTAAATCAGCTCCCAAATATTTGATAAAATCTGCTGCAACAAACATGATCATATTAGAAGATAGGCACAGTGTAAATTATTTCCCATTCTTAGACTTCAGCTTCGTGTTAATCATTTCTCAGTTGATAATCAACATTCTCATCTTCCAACCCGCTTTGAAGACCACACGAGATGACATCAGAAACCAACAGTTTAGTAACAGATTTATTGTAAATTAACATCTCACTAGATAAAAAAGATGAGTGGTCTCAACCTTCTAGACCTAAAGTTAGCAACCACATGATTTATGAACAGCAGAAGATGAGGTTTTAAAAATGATGAGAACTAAAGCCATGAGAGTTTCACATTCATTTACAGAGATACTTGTGCTTCTGTTAACATTGCCTATCTCTTTTCATGCATTTGATCACAGAGTAATTTACCATGGGATGACACTGCTCTACTCCCCTAATTTCCCATTCTTCCCCAACTGCAGTAAATACCCTAAATAAATTTCCAGCAGAACAAAAAAAAAAAGAAATCCAAACAGTATCAGTTTCTGATAGCTCACAGGGCTTTTAATATACAAATGCAAGAGCAAATCCTTGCCTCTTAATTCTCATAATTTTTAATAATGAAAGCAAAGTTCTGAAGATGTCTGTGGTTAGAACACATTTTGAATAGCACTACTGAGTTGCATCTGAATAGCATGTGAAGACCAATCCTGACATCCTTACTTAACTGTTGACAGTGTACAAGTCTTCCACAGCCAAACATCTGTTAAAGACCGAGAGGTTTGGTCCTTGTGATCACTAAATAAAATTCATGAGAGGGTGACAGCTGCCAGGTTTGCTGACACCCAGAATTAAATTGGCATCCTTAAGGAATGAATAAACTAACTGTTGTGTTTGATCCAAACAGCATGCTTCTTTCACTGTGTCCACCTGGATTATTAAGCAGTTGATTACATAATTATGCATGATTATTTATATTTTCAATCATTGTCAAGCATAGTAGGTGGGTTTAAGGAAAGGAAACAAATCAAAATTCAATAAAGACAATTTTCTAATTAAGCTAGTTATCATTACCACTACAAAAACAATAAAGAATTCCCAATAAATCATTTATATTTAGTTACAGCTACACATTTAACCGAGACCTCTAGAAATATTTAGACAGATTCTGTACCATGATCTATGTGATATATAGAACAATACAGACCCCTGGACTGGTCTCTGCTGATCTTAGCCCTTCAACGATTCAAGGCAATTTACGTGAATGTGCACGTGGTTCCCAACGGGGATGCTAAGGTGATGTAAAAAACTACTTACAAAAATCATAGCTAAAAGCAGCACCTAAGACTTTATGCTGGCACTTGACACGGGGTGGATTCCATCCATGCTTGATAGTTTAATGAAAATAAATATTACATTATTCTTCAGAGTTAGAATATTTTTATTCTATGGTAAGACAAGCTACTAACATTTCACATGATGGACTGATGGGGAAAATTGTTTTCTCTTGAAAAAATTGTACTATCTTTTGCCATGTTTCCATTGGAAGGAACACATATTTTGAATTACTGAATAGGCTAAATTCATTTAATCACTTGCTTTCAAGGAAAAGAAGTCACAAAAATGAGCTCAAATAACCATTAGAAAAAGCCTTGCTGCTGTGCTTGCTCTCCTCAGGCTCATGGCATTTCCACAGACAAGCTAGTCCATCAGCCGCAACAGAAAAGAGCCTGCTCTGATCTGGGCTCAGGGCTATATGCAGGACTCTCCCTTTGTGACCTGTAAAATAAAACACATACAAAAAAAGGAAAGATGCACCACAATTCTACACTGATTATCCCAGACACTTTCACCACCTTCACCCACACTAAGTCTTGTTCCACTTTTACTGTAGCAGCAAAACATGCTGTGTAGGATGTCGGATGCTAGCATTATCTATAGAATATTTTCACATTAAAAAAGAGTTGAAGGCAGTATTTTCTGATTAGGGACCAGGCTTTAACTGCCAGGGCTGCACCACATTGAGAAGACACACTGTCAAAGAAGAACATTAAACCTGAACCCTTGACTCTCCATGCATTTACATCAGTCTTATCTGTGTTTGGTAATGTGTCTCACTCCCCATCTGGCTGCACGTGCCTTGCAGACAGTTTGCAGCTGATCCAACAATAATGAGATAGTGTCTCCAGCTGTTCAGTTATTACTGTTAAGGAGACATTTTAACAGTGACCCCACTAAATAATTTATTGCAGTTGTATATTGAAGCTTGTCTGCAGTTGTAGTAAACTTTGGGAGCTAGACACTGAAGGTCAGAAGCTACTCCAGTCTAGCAGCACAAAGAACGTATGAAATTCATTAATCTGGTTATACAGGAATCTCCCTCAGTAGAAGCAACTGATTTTGAACTGAAGGCAGAAAATGTCTGGTACTAAACTGAAACTGTTGAGACCTATATTTACCTTACTGCTCTGGCATAGACCTCCCATATCATCTAGCACAATGTCATTGATAAGCAAGCCTATAAGGTTTTTAAGCATACAGGGCCATGAGAAAATAGAAGACTTTTTACTCCAAGTTACTGGCCACTAGCCTCTCTGGTTGGATGAGTTACTGACAAACATATAGCTGAGCTAGTCACCCGGAGGGCAAAAATAAACTTCTGAGACATAGTGTATCTCATCTACATCAGACCATATGAGCCGCATTCTAAAAGGAAGTGTGAAGTTATGAAGGAAGTCTTGGGTAACCAACTTGAATGCATGTAGGTGACCTATGTCATCCTATCATCTGCACCTGAGTTCTCCATGAACACAAGGGGATAGTGCTTCTCTAGCTCAAAATAATTTTATGAGGATAAACATGTGAGGAAATGTAAATCCCTCTGAAACTGTGGTACTTACCACAATGGTACCTGATAAGGATCCATAGGACTGTTGCAGATGGACAGTCTGCCCTAAGTCTGTGAAACTGCTACAATGGCTCTCTGGAACCACTGTGACCAAAAGCAAATATCTGCTGTTCTGGGGCTGAGTAACACGTGTCCCTCCTAAACTTTGTGACTAGAATTTTGACACCACTACTAAATTACTTCAGCAGAGATTAGTTTTCAGGCTTTGCTCCTTCTCAAGTTGTTGAAGTGTACACAATCTTTGCCAATATTTAAGACCATGAGTTTACAACTCAGAAAATTCTTCACACTGTCTCCATTCAGTGTCTGTAATGACTCTGAAGGAAGAGCTGGAGATGTAGTCTTTGGAGGTATCCAAAACTATCCACAATGCTAACAGAAATCTGACGAACAATTTCAGTCAAAAGAAGTGAAGGGGGATAGGGAGAAATCAGAGAAGTTGAAATTATTAACTTCCATGTTTTCTAAGTGGAGTTTTCTGGTTTTATTTTATTGTTTCGAGATCACATTCAGATATTTTTCAAAGCAATTATGTATTTTGTTAGCCTGTATGTTTTCTTTGATCTACAACAACTTTCCTAAGGGGAGGGCATTTATACCCAAAATGAATCTTCTTTTCTAGTAAATTACTCTAATAGTTCTATCAGAAGTATCTCAAAAATTGACTTGGTGATATAAAAATGTTACTATCTTTCAGTTGTTATTCTGTTCTGAGTATGCTCAGTAATAGGCAACCTCAATTCCTAAAGTATTCAACAGTACCTGATGGTGCTTCATTGTTAGCTGAGGTCTTCAGCATTTTGCAGGAGGCTTAAACAGTGAGATTCAGTTACAGTTTATCTGTTCATTTCTTTGGGCGTAAAACTCATGTGGTTAAGGGTGACTAAGGCTGACTTAGAACCACCTCACAATCATCCATCACAGTATTTTTTTCTGAACATATTTTGATACATTCACAATTTCTTCCAACATTCAATTGCTTATAGTAAGGTACTAAGCGTCTTCATAAGCAGGAATATATCTGTGTAACAATTACCTGGTCTTTTTGTTCATGAAAATTAGTTTCTCTTGCAGCTAAGTAAACTCAATATGAAACGGGATGATAAGTAACCCCCCAGCTCCACCAAACTACCAATGCATTTGACTTATATGGTAAATGTTTTACATCATATACTATTCTGAAAGGTAAGATTAAATCTAGGTTTCACTTCAAACAGTATATTCAAAACTTACAAAGACTTGAGAAACCTCAAGCTACAGTAATTAAGACTAATGATAATGTCACTTTCCAGATCACTGCTCAGAACATCATAAGACATTACCTTAAGAGCAGTACATAAATGAGGAGGGATAAGGAAGGAAAAGCAACACAGACAAGCAGCATTACACAAGGATAATGTGTAACCAGATCCACATGTGTCTTTTCCGTCCATCTTTGTTTTGACTCTCCTGCGCTTTCCTCTTGCAGGCTAGTGTTGAAGCCAAGTTCCTGGTTCCAAAGACAGCATCCCAGTATAGTTTGGATTTATTAAATGCCTTCAAATGTAGCAACAGGGTACAAAATGTATTTGTAAATATCAGCTGTCAGGTTAAAAACCCAGAATTTCTTTGGCCATATCTTGTCAGTGAGTGTGAAAAAACAACCATGCTTAGGAAAATGCAGCCAGTGTGCAAATAATTTGTTATTTTCCTTTAACTTCAGATGCTTCTATTGCATCACTCCAGTTAACACTGAAACAAGTACAATTTAATGTTTAGGAGTAACAGCAGGCACCAGAAATAAGAATGCTTAATAGCAAGGAATGGCTTTTATGTGTAGTGTAGCCCTGCAGCAGCATGGACCAACACAGAGCTGCAAGGAAACTCCACTTTTCTCTAGCTGTCAGCATGGTACAAGAGAAACCTGCTGCACCACATTGCTTTACAGCCAAAATCATTCATTAAAACCCAGACAACTCTAAGTAACACATGGATATTTATTTCAAACATCATCTGGAAGCTAGTTCAGTATCCTTGCATGATGAGCTGCAAAATCAAAGATCTGCATCTAATTTGTATTCTCTAGAAGGCCATCAGTCTAGAATATATTGGAAGCAACTGACATGAGCACACTCAATCCAAGTCTAGTAAGCCCTAGGGAGAAGTGGAATTCCACATTCTGCATGTGGGATGGCGTTAGAAATGACAGAAGAGAATCCCATCATTAAAACTAAGTAATTCTACAGAAGCAATTTAGACCATTATCTTAATAAGCCAACCCTTACAATCCCATGAATCAGGACTGTGCAAATGAATGCATGTGTGTAGGCAGAGGGAGGATGTGTAAATGACCGCTCTTTTAACTCCTTTTTTACATAAATGCATAAAGTATGCACTTGCAAAAAACCACACTGATTAGACAGAAACTGAAATAGTTAACTATTAACTGAAATACTTGCCATAGAGTTCGGATGAATTGGTAAGCATGGGATACTTCCATATTTTAATCTGATTTCCAGGAAGGCCTTGTCCAGTCATCAGTTCGCTGGTTTTGGGTAACCAGAGCAAGGAACAAATCTATTGCAATTTAAAATTCTGATTTAGTTTTCAGAGAGAGTCAGCATACATCATTCAGTAGATTTGAAATGTTATCTACAAAGTTTAAACAAGCTACTGAGAAACAGTGCTAGCAGAATATTTTATTTAGAAGGATCACTTAATTCCCTACAACACTTCAAAGTACAGTTGCCTTATTGTCCTATCTAAGCTTGGTAACAGCCTATCAGTAAAAAAAACAAAGCCCTTCAAAAACATTCTCAGCTAAGTTGCGATAGCTCCAGGAAAATCAACAGTTATGCTGCTTTACTCCAGCTGAGAATCTGTTCCTCTGTCTCCTAATATTCAAATTCCAGAGATGGATGTTTGGCCTCTGACTCTTACACCTCTTCTCATCCCTGTACTCTGGGAATTTTCCCTCCCCCTCAACATTCTCCCCCTCCACATCAAGAGTTTTGGCCAAAACTGTTATTGCCAATAAGGAAGAGATGATGAGAAGTGTCTGGCTGCAAGACCACCTCCTCTTCAATCACTTCTGTGTGGAGACAGAAAGGGTGAATGAGAAACAACAAACTGCTGCTGAGTCCAGTCACACACTGCAGTGTGAATGTAGCACAATTGCACATCTAGAGAAAATCCTGCTGTTCCTCTGACCGCAGAACCACCCTCAAAGTCAGTGGGAGCTTGCCAAATAAGCACAGCTATACATGAAGAGCACAGCCTAAGTATGCAGACATTTCATCATTTCACCTGAGAATCTGTAGCTGAACTTTGGATGATTTTCTCATGATTTATGTCCCAGACACGCAAAATCCCATCTTTCATTCCACCCCCTGTAGCAAGGACTTTGGACTGCCAAGGACACCAGTTCATAGCCTGAAAAAAAACAGTTGCCAGAACAGACTAGGAAGTTAGCTGGAAAAACAGAGTTATTTTTGCTTAAAAGCCTAGTCAGAAAAATTAACTGCAACAAGTACCCAGAAAGTACACACAGAGCAATGTAGGATCTCAAAACTCCAAATGCTGTTTCCCTTGCCATTGCTTCACAGTAGCCTACACTGTCCCACTTATGTTCATAAAACTCCAGCTTCTCTGCTTACCCTTCATAGGCCACTGACTCACACTTCAGTACCAGAAGAACCCGTCAGGATCCACTCTTACTGCCTAAGACAAGCCATCACAGAAGCCTAAGCAACATGACTTACAGGGCTTACAAGAAACCTTACCTCATTTGAGATATTTTCACAGGATATGCCTAAGACCCAGACTCTACCTGAAGAAAAGCTACTAAGAACTCACTTCCATCCATTTCAATAAACTTCTCTGACCCTTTAACCCCAGTGCTTCAAAACAGCATCAGACTATTTTGGGAGGATAAACAATTTATATATGCTGGATTCCCCTGCCTATTATTGCTAATACCAGTCCCCTCTCCCACACAGACTGTGACTTCATAAAGATGAAGAATTTTAAATTGTCTCATTTCCAGTTTCCTACTTCAAATTATTACCAGCAATGACATGAAAATATGGACAGGAGGGCAAAAGAAACCTCATATTTAAATTCACTGCAGCAGAGAGAATTTTCCAAAAACTCCAAAAATTTAAAGATGTTGTTTGTTAATCTGTAAGCATTGTTCCACCAAATGTTTCTGTGCAAGGCAGAGAGGTAAGAAGAGAAGGCTGTAAATTTCATTTCTATTTGGTGTTACATTTACAAAGGCCTGCTAATCCAGTAAAATTTCCTAATCAAAGCCCTAGCAAACTTATCTGTGACTTGGAATGAGGAGAACTGATCTTAAAATTAACTACATGACAGACAGGGAGAAGAAACTAATAGGTATCAGTGAGATGATTTGAAAAGTTCCCTAACTGTCCACATCAACAATATGATTTCATGAGAGCAAATATAGAAAAGCAGACATTCCTTCTCCACATACCTTAACTGCTGAGGAATGAGGCATGGTTTTCAGTGGCTGTGACTGCAATTTCACACCAGGGTCACTAGGCCAGATATTCAACATACCATCACTAGCCCCACTTGCCAGCAGCTGGCTGGTTAGTGACCATTTCAGGCTGCAAATGCTTTGTTTGTTTTGGCAAAGAGTCCCAACATGGTGCTGAGCAACCCGAACATCATGGTGATGAATAGATCCTAGTCGTGAACCACTGCAGATGAGAAAATGTAGCATAGGCTTAATGGTAAAGAATATAAGCTACATCATCACACTGTTTCTTCAGTGGTTTCAGAAACAAACCACATCAGAGTGAAATGTGTCTGCAGAACAGCAATATTTCAGTATAAACAAACCAACTAACTATCAAAAGCACACCCTGACTGTAGAGGTGGCTGACAACAGAAAGGAGCCAAGCAGCTGCTCAGTTCAAGACAGGCAGAATACCAGTTCTCTCTTATGGTTTTAATTTCCCTGAAGATATATTGCTTTGTATGCCACTAATCTGCACCCTGTTCAACTGTCAAGCCATTTACTGTAAACTATTTCCTATTCTTCATGAAAAATCTTTTTGCAAGATGATTTTTGCCAAGGACAGATATGACTCCATGCCCAACAAAGAGGCAGTGTAAAACTGCACTGCTCTGGGAAAGGGCTTACTAGTGAGTAACGGTGTGTTCTTTGGTTCTGCCTCTTCTCTTGTCTTCTTCTTCCCTTCCACTTCCACGCTTAAAGAAAATTTGCACAACTTGACACAGTTGCACTAAATGCCTGCTGGGAAATGGATGTTTGGTTCTACAGCCAGTATCACCAGTCTACCAAAGAAAGGAAGAAATATTCTGCCTGGCATCACAGCTACTGTTACAGCTTAGCTACCAGATACGGGTTTTACACATCAGCAGTAGAGCTGAACTGAAAATACTGAAAATACTTGGCAGCGCCTTTTCCTTTCCTGTCTTTCTAAAGATATTACCTATATTAAACCCATGACAAAACAGAAGAGCTTTCTGCTGGAAATTCACACTTCCAGCTATTATGATGACACTGAAAAAATCAGCAAGCTCAATACCATCTTTCTGGATATGTGAGAAAGAGATACCTGTCATTACTGCAATAGATTAATGTAAGGCAATAATGACTGCAGACATTCCCAAACTGGCTCTTAAAGATTTTCAGATGCAAGTTGATTGATATGGAAGCTCTAAAACGCACACACAGAACTGACTGATCGCAAGAAACGTCATTCTGTTGTGTCATTCTGTTGTGTCATTATGGACTTGCCAAGCTCTTCAAGTTCTGAAAAGCATTAAAGATTCCAACCAAGCAGTGCTCCAGTGAATATTAAGCACATCTTCATGGAAAATACCTATGAAAATACATGGGAATGTGTGCATTATATGCAGAAGCATCATCATTTGCCTCTTGAAGATGCATATAGATTTTTCCTACTGAATAGGAAGCAGAAAATCTAAGTCTGCCCAAGATGGAGTTAATTTTCCCCACAGCAGCCCTCACAGTGCTGTGCTTTGTACTGGTAGCTAGAAAGGTGTTGATCACACACCAGTGTTTTGGCTACTGCTGAGCAGTGCTCGCACAGGTCAGGGGTCTCTCTGCAACACTGCCCCCTCACCAGTAGGCTGAGGGTAGGAAAAATCTGGGGAGGGGACACAGCCAGGACAGCTGACCCAAACTGACCAAAGGGGTGCCATACCATACAACATCTGCTCAGCCATAAAAGCTAAGAGAAAGGAGGGGCATTTGTTATTACACTGGTGTTCCAGAGCAACCGCTATGCACACTGGAAGCCCTACTTCCCAGGAAGTGTCTGGATATCACCTGCTGATGGGAAGTGGAGAATAAATCTTTTGTTTTCCTTCACTTCTGCACACAGCCTTTGCTCTCCCTTTATTAAACTGACTTTATCTTGATCCATGAGGTTTTTTTTCCATTTTATTTTCTCCCCCCCCCCCCACATCCTGCTGAGCTTGGTGAGCACCTGGCATCCAGCCAAGGTCAACCCACCACACCAAGAGAAACAGAATTGATTTGCCAGTGTTGGCCATATTAAGGTTTTCAGTAATTCTAATGGATGGGTAGGAAGACACTGGGCTCCTGTGAATTCTGCCTGCAAGCACATTTTTCCACTTGGCATAAAAAGAAAATAGAATTATTTGCTTTTGACACAGAAGATACCATCTGTTTTGCTAAAGACAGAGAAATCAACAAAATTTTATGATGGGTTAATTTATGGTACTGAAATTTATTTACAGGTTCATGATAACGTGTGGTTGGGTTATTTTTAACCACAGGAATTAGTATGTAATCACAAAATATCAATTGTCCACAGTGAGTTTACTGTAAGAACGCTGCTCTTATTTTAGTAATAATGAATATTAACTCCACATCTTTTTTCTACTTATACAAATATTTTAGCTCTGTCCTAATGTTAGAATGAACTGGCTAGTTTCAAACCTAGCAAGAGAAATAAATGTTATCTCAACCTAATCTGTCAATAGTAACTATAGTTCATAGGTTCGTGATGAATTTTGTGATCAATTTCTACTCAGAGATATCTGTAATTTAAGTTTCTGTTATTTTCACTCCTTTGGCCATGCTGAAATGCAAATCGAAACTAATGCTTACTGTAACGAGGTTATGACACTTGGCATTGGCAGGATGTTCCAGCTGTACCCTTGTAACTTAACCCACCCAGTGTACCCGCTCCAGCAACAGCTAGAGAGGTGTGCAGCTCTTGACAGCTGTTTCACTGTGCATCTGAAAAGACAGATGCAGTCTTGGTATCAATGGAGGGACAGTCTAAACTGCATGCCCTCTCATCGGCATTGGATAGGCTATGATTTTTGGAGTCCAGATCCACTGGAAACACCACCATTTCAACCACAGGCTTTGCACAAAACCAGAGCCACAGTTTCCATACCCTAGTGGCATTCTGCAAGTGGTAAGAGTTTTCTGGAAGGAGAGTGAGAAACAGAGACTAAAGAGGCAGGCTAAATACCCTCTGGCTGCTTTCCTGCCATACAGTAAATCTACATATGATTTCTGAGATGGCCAGTAAGGAGGACAGGATAAATCACCTTTGAGCAAAGCCAAGGAAAACAGCTAAAATGAATGGGACATTTGTCTAAGTAAAAGCAGCAGGACTCTTTCTGGGAATATACTATACCACTCACCTGCTCAGAATATAATGATTCCAGCTCAGAGCACCAACTACAGACAAATGACCGAACATATTTCTCAACCTCTTTTTGGTTTCAATGTCCCACAGCTGCCAATCCAAAACACACAAGAAATACAAATTTAACAACAAAAAGACAAAATGGTTTTATTCTCTTCATTTGTTTGCAAGTAAGCCACTGCCCAGTTCTGAGTTGACATATAGGTAGCCTCAAAATAATTTATTTCACAAGATAAGAAGTATTTCCAAATGTTGGCACCTATATCAGTGATGTTGAAGTCAGACGGGATTTAAGGCAATGCACATCTCTGAGTTTAAAGCTATTTATTTACATGTCAGTATTTAGAAGTTCATACTTGAAAGCATTGGTACTCAGTAGTTTCAGACTGCTGAGTCAGGACTGAAGCAGGTAGGTCCCCATATTATCCAGCATCTCAGCCAAAGTTGCACAAAAATATTTTGGTAATAGGACTGTCCTATAACAGCAGTCTGAGAGGTATGTGTATAATCAGACTGAAGACAAATTCTCATGTGTGAATCCATAAGGAGAGTTTTGGATTGAGTTCTTAAAGCATTGATCTCTAGAGTGATCTTAGTAAGAGAGGTACAAGAAAAAATAGCCTATGCTGAGTAAAATAACTTAATGAAAGAGTTCCTCTTACTGGTGGAAATAAAATATGATTGCCTCTGGACAACTGAATCATTAATTCAGCCATCAGCTTTTCAGTGGCTTCAGAGCCTCCATTATATACAGATAACACTGAATGTCACTAAGCCATTCAAGTAAGGTGCAGCATGATACAGGGAAGTGCTATATATTGTCTCCAGCAGAGTTCTTCTGTAGTTTAGCCAGTCTTTTTCATCTGTTTCCTTAATTAAAAAAAAAAAATCAGCATCAAATTGTCTTGTGGCCACTTTAATTAAAAATGGAGAAAGTCTAAAAAAGTAAATTATCCAGTACTTGCACTTCTCCATCACTGGTGCCAATTGCAAGGCAAGTTCCTTCTTTTATCCAAGCCAGAGATGAAATGTATTTAGAACTGGAATTCAAATCAATGCTTTCAATGGCTTGAAGAGTTCCTCCATTCCAGATGTGTACAGCAGGTCCTACAGCAACAGCAATGAGATTTTCAAGGCTCCAGTCCAGTATGTTTAGATCTAGAAGAAAACCACTAAAAATTATTGCAAAAAAGTTGTAGGTAATAGGATGGGGGAAAGGGGAGTATGGTTTGGGGACAGAGGCTCTTTTTTTTTTTTTAATAGCTATGGAAAAACTTCAAGAGAATGCTTCTACGAAACCACTGCTAGCAAGTATTCATCTTATATGAAGAAGACTATTTCTAACAAGCCATTGTCTTCATAAATCTCATCTCCACAAACCGGTATGTTTGCACAGCAGGATCTGACTTACAGCTCCCCAGCTAGAATTTTTTAATGTCACCCCCCATTTTGGATCATCACATCACTCACTCTAATTCTACCAGCAGAAATGATGCTCCTCCACCAACAGCTACAGTTCCACAAACACCCTTGTTGCAAGGTAGTTCTTGTTACTGAGAAAGACATAGGAGAGGGTCTACATTCTACAGTCTGTCCTACATCCTCAGGTTAATGTTAACATTTACCCTGCACATGATAGGGGAAAAAGAAAATGTAGAAAGAAATTAGGGAAATTCTGCTCCTCACCTTCAGAGCTTGCTCAAAAAGCATAAGATGGAAATAGTGTTTTCACCGCCCCTGATGCTGGGCACATTGCACTTGTAGATCCTGGCAAAGCAAGTCACTACAGCGATTAGCCTCAGAACAGCCTGCTATGTCAGGTAGGCCAGAAGTTGGTATACAACACTTAATACCAACCAATACCATTCTTCCACGTCAAGGGAAATCCTCAGCTGTCCATTTAGGGCAGTTTAAAAGTAATTTTACATGACCCCTGAAGCACAGAAGATTGTTACCATAGGCCAAGGTCTGACATCATATTCTGGTAACTAAAATCACTCTGAAGTACAGTGGAATCTGTCACTCAGTTGTATGACTACAGTCCTGGTTGTTGCAACCAGAAATCATTTCCAAAACTTCTGTTAATGCTGTTAGTCTTGGGACACACTTTGTGCACAATCAGTGTAAATCATACAAACCAACCTTTGTCCTCTTCATATATATATGTGAACACTTGCAGTGATATGTTGAATAAATCTCCACAGGCACAATTACAAACACTTGCACATACAGAGTTCTTCGTTATGAAATGTTAAAACATGTATTTGCTGCAGTAGACCAGAGAGCCATGTATGTTCATGTGTAACTTGTGCACATTTAATTTTTGCCTGTGCATTACCAAAGACATAAGTGAGAATTTAGTTCAGCCAAACCATAAATCATGTCACCAATGTCTCCCAAAACAAGAGATTTCAAAGTCTGCTCAATAAAGTTGCTGCTGTGTTGACTGGCTGCTAGATATCCAAGGCTGACAGCTGAAATGTTTAACTTAATTAAGTGGAGGTAAGTATATTGATTTGACTTGATCTATAGCTGAAGGAAACTGCATGAGAGTTGGGTAGTATTGACTCTAGGGTTTGATCAGTCATATCCCCATCCTGGGACAGGCAGTTTTCAAAGATGCATCCCCCTAAGAAAAATTACATCATGCATATGTCCTGCAGTTTCCATTTTATGTGAAGGGGACACACTTTCACCATCCCTCTTGAAACATACATAAGAATTCCCAATCTCTGCAAAAAACACCACACAGGAGAAATTAACTTACAGTAATCATTGCGCAAACCAGTAATATGAAGCTTCACTTCTGGCTCCAATGGTATGGAAGGCTTCACGGTGGTAACAGCTCTAAGCTCATATTGGGTCCACTCATGGCATCCTGTATTTGAAGATTCATCACATACAAATCAGTAGTGCAAAATACCACCAGTTTTTCTCAGGCCTAAGCCTTTCGCATTCTCACTATTTGTCTCTCAGTGGTCCAGAGGAGGCCAGAAGGGTCTAATTTATCCTGTGTAGGCCCAAAACACTAGACAAACTAAACTTGGTGAGAGGCACCTTTTACTACCTCTTTCAAACCTCTGTGGATGTAGTCAGCTAGAACAGAGAATGGGGTCCACTATATTTTGTTTCATTTGTACCACTGGTGAACATGGGGGTTTTTGTCTTTTTTGCCTTAGTTTTCTGTCAAAAGTTGTTAGGAGCAGAATGCTTCATATGTGCTCTCCCACTTCAAAACCCCATCATACAGCAGTTAACTTTTTTGCTTTCTGGTGTTAGTTTCCCACCTAAAGGCCTCCCCCATCAATACCTAACCACAGGAAAAGGTTTTTAAAGCACACGCATTTTGATCACAGCACACTAAGCTTGTGACAACACATAAGCGAGAAACAAAAGCAGATATGAGAAAGCAGAAGAGTCATCTTTTGTGGTCATTGTCTAAATTATGCTGCAAGGACTCCTAAACATCACAGAAAAAAACCCACGATCATTAGCACTATGAATCATTTAATGCTAGATTTTTATGTGTAAGAAATTATCTTGCTGTAATGTGCAGAGCAGAAAGCTGGAGATTCACATTTCTGCACTTTTCTGGTTTGACTTCCTTTTTGAATTACTCTCCAGAGAGGAGTATTTAGAATGAATATCAAAACTTTCAGGGGCAGAAGACATTACTTATCTCTACAACTAACCTTCTCTTTTCAAAAAATTTCAATACTGACAAAGTTTTTGTACTCTGTAACTTAATTACACACAAAAACATCCTATATGGAAGTCCAATGACAAAATATTTCACACAGTCCTCTATGGTGTCCCTGCATCTTCTCCTCTAATCCAAAATTAATTTCTGCAAGACAACAAATGCTTCCCCTCTCAGCTGTGGTACTCTCTCTCTCTCCAAATAATGAATGAAGATGAGCAAGAAGCAGGTCACAGTGATTTTCTTCTGTATTTAAAATTTTTGTCAAGTTAAACAATAAAGCTTGGCTTGCAGGAGTGACCTCAGACCTGCCCAGTGGGGTATGTAACACTGCACTCTAACCCTGAGAATGTCCAGTGTTACTGAAATGAGATTTCTCTGTACAGAAAAATCTGTATTTCTAATATGTAGATTTTTTGTTATTTTTTTTAAATTTTACCAGACCTTTCTGAACCCAGTCAAGTAAGATAAGTCAAGAAAATTAAGACACTTAATTGTAACAGTTGGATGAGTGGCAACACTTCTGAAACACTCTGAAAATGTTTTTCTTCTTTACAACTGGTTATTGGTGTTGAGCAGTGAGATATAAAGGATTAAATCATTTCTGCTACTCATTTCAGGTTTCTCTTTTTTCATGGGTAATTCATCTACCCCAAATTCATACTGAAAATGCTTTCAGCTCTGTTCACTTCATAGACACACAAATGTGCGTAACAGGCTTTTTAATTAGTGGAAATTAAGCTTCATTACATCATTTTGTGTTATTTTGCCTGGGTACTAGCAGATATCACTGGCTTTTGACAAGATTTTAACTCTCACATGCCCATGTCACTCCTCAAGATAAAACTCAGGAAGTGGTAAGTAGTCAGTATTGTCATACCAGACCACTTGATCAACAAGTAGGTGGGTGGAGTAAAAGCTGGTATTTCTGATACCTGTATTCATTTGCCATCAAGAAAACCTCTGTGACTAATCCCTATACTGTTGCTACTGTCTGCTCTGAAATGAGTCTTATTTGCATGGCAAAAAGCAACAAAGGAATATATAAATCTATCACATAGCCCCCAACTTCTACGTGAGCTCAACTCCAGATTCTTAAAGAAGCTGTTTCTTACTGTTTTTACATGAGCATGAATCAGGCCCTGACTGGCAAGAACACATCATATACAGAAATAGGCATATCACCAAATGAAATCATCTCTCCAAGACAGAACACAACAAAATGTTGATCTGATATTTGATGAACTGCCTCATACTCAAACTCTGGGAATATATGTATTATTTCACAGGTTAGTTCCTCACATTCTACCTGTTTTCCAATCACCTGATCATTCACACTCCCTTATGCTCATTCATTCCTCAAATACCTTTCGGAGCAAATTAACCAATTCTCCCACAGATGAAACCAGAGGCAGGGCTAACTAACGGCAGTTTGCTTCAGCTACCTTTCCCTACAGGTAGGAAGAACAAGACCCCACATCTCTGCATGTCTTGCACTCTCATGTTCCCAAGAGTTCACAATACATTCTGCAGTATAACCATACATTATTTGTAGGGTTCTGAAACTGAAAAGCTGATAGGAAATTAATGTTTTAGGGCCACCAATGCATCAGATGGTGCTCAAAGGAGAGCCAGGTAGACCACATACTAGGGGTTAACCACCCTGGAAGAGGTGGAATACCATCTCTTTACAGGTGGGGGGAACTCTAGAAATCTCTCCAAGCAGCATAGATCTCAGCACTTTGCATTATTCTGTAACACTTGCTGGAAGAGGTAGATGCACCTGCTTTTCCAGTGCAGATGCAGCCTGTTGTATCTTACTGTTTAGTGTACATGAGAATATTTGCTATATTGGAACATACCTTTCCAGATGCAATTGGTATTTTCACAGACCTTAACGTCACCACTTTCTGCAATGCTATATCCAACCTCCAGGACTGCTGGAAGCTGAGAAGGACATTTCTGCCAATACATTAGAAAATATGACTGAATGAAGAAAACTGTTGAAAAATATACTTAAGCATCATGGATAACACAACTCCCATCAAAGGACTCAACACTCGTTATGTAAGAGCTTCAAACCAGCTTGTCTCTCGGATGGAAGATGAGTAACAAATACAGAATACTAGTGTCCAAAGCATGTGCTCTAACTTGAGCCACCATCTTTCCCCCCATAAAACATCAATTCACTGCTCCTGATCACACAAACTTTAACAAAGCTGTTTGAACAAATCCATTTTACCAGGGGAAGAGGTCCCAAGCCTGTGCATCTGTAAGTACTACGACAGGTCATCTGCAAAACTGTAGTGCCCTCTTGTCCTGTTCTGAATTGGCGTTTAGGCTAATTTTACCAGCATACAATGCCACATTTTCTGCATGCAGACAGAAAATATGATGCCTCAGGCTTGCTCTGTGAGGGAAGTTTTGTGGTGCATACACTGCAAGGCCCCTGATTTCAGCATGAGACCTACTGGATGTCAGAGTTCTCTCTCAAATGAGGGTCCCAGAGCCTGGACTCCATGATCCCATGCCTTGAACCAGTATTGCAATATGAAACTGAAAATATATAAAAGGTGTCTGAGGAGTAAGATTTTTTAAATTACATTATAATTTCCTTGGGTGTCAAAGAAAGAGATGATGCAGCAGGATAAGAAAAGGGAAATCTGAATTGTTACTGAACTTTTTCATTTTTTGGAAAAAAAATAGCTGAAGCTGAGATTCAGACAACGGCTCACATCAGCTTACACAGTATATGAATCTCTTCACCAATCCTTAGTAATATGCATTTTCACAATGTTCACTGAGTTGAATACTCTGATGACAGTTATCTGTCTGGTCTGTAATTCTTTATTTACTGTTAGGTGGAAAAGCTGCTGATGTTTTTACCAGCCACTCACGATCAATATGCTCTTCTTCCAATGTCTGTGAAATCTATATTTCAAAGCACATTCAATATTACTCTTCTTCAAAACCCTGTTACAATCATGGTAAGAAATGTCTTACAAAAACATAGCTGGAAAAATACTGTTCCTCCTTTATATCTCCCAGCTGCTCTATAAGCAAGCCATCAGCTTTCAGAAGTACTTTCTGTATGATTTATATAGACAACTTGGCAGAAAGTTAATCAGATTGCTTGGATCTGTGTCCCTCTAAAATAAGTGCAGACATTTCTGTGGAAAACTGATTGTGTATACAAGGAAGTAATGTTTTGGACCACACACATTCACTGGAATGTGGGAAGACTTTATTTTCAATTTATCCCATTCCTTTATGCTACCAGGCAGCACAAATTAAAGAGTCATTAATTACCATATCTAAGAAGATGAATAGATTTTTGTATGGTTTTAGCCATGACTAACTTCCAAATGTTTTTAGGAAGAACTTGGGTTTTGTTCATCCCACAATGTTATCTCAAAGACCCACACACCACAGTTTTAGGAAATGATCGTGGTCCTTGACGTAGAATTCTGAATATCTTAGTTCTAACTCAACTCCTGCTTGTAAATTACAGTGTAATTCTAGGTAAGTTACTTCACTATAGGGTTGAAAGACTGAAACATGGAAGACTGGCACACGGTCAATACTGGGACCAGTACTGTTTAATATCTTCATCAACAGCACAGACAGTGGGATCAAGTGCACTCTCAGCAAATCTGCAGATGACACCAAGCTGAGTGGTGCAGTTGACAGACCTGAGGGACAGGATGCCATTCAGAGGGACCTGGACAAACTCCAGAAGTGAGCCCATGTGAAGCTCATGAGGTTCAACAAGGCCAAGTGCAAGGTCCTGTACCTGCATCAGGGCAACCCTAGGTATCAATACCAGCTGGGGGATGAAGGGAGTGAGAGCAGCCCTGAGGAGGACTTGTGCGTACTGGTGGATGAAAAGCTGGACATGAACTGGCAATGTGCACTCACAGCCCAGAAAGCCAACCATATCCTGGGCTGCATCAATAGAAGTGTGGTCAGCAGGTCGAATGAGGTGATTCTGCCCCCCCTACTCCACTCTCGTAATACCCCACCTGGAGTGCTATGTCCAGCTCTGGAGTCCTCAGAACAGGAAAGTCATGGACCTGTTGGATCAGGTCCAGGGGAGGTCACAAAAATTATCAGAAGGATGGAACACCTCTCCTGCGAGAAAAGGCTAACAGAGTTGGGGTTGTTCAGCCTGGAGAAGAGAAGGCTGATGACAAGGGAGACCTTATCATGGCCTTTCAATACTTGCAGGGGGTTTTAATGAAGATGGGGACAGACTTTTCAACAGGAGATGTAGCAACAGGACAAGGGGTAACAGTTTTAAACTGAAAGAGGGTAGATTCAGACTAGATACAAGGAAGACATTTTTCACAAAGAAGGTGATACAACACTAGAACAGGTTGCCCAGGGGGGTTGAAGATGCCCCATTCCTGGAAAGATAGGACTCTTGAGTAACCTGATCTAGTTGAAGATGTTGCTGCTCATTGCAGGGGGGTTGGACTGCATGACCTTTAAAAGTCCCTTCCAACCCAAACCATTCTATGATTCTACAACTATGAGTGAAGACAATGACATGTATTCATCTTTGAAAAGATGTTACATTTTAAGGAAGTATGTTTCACATACATTACTTCATAGAAAGCTTTTATAATCTCACAAAAAAGTTTTATTAAATTTCTCTGTGGGATAGATTCAACTAAGGTTACTAAACCCATTGAGTTGTGTATTTTAACAATTCTAAAATTCACATACTCTACAATAAGACCATGGATGGGGGCGGGAAGAAAGCACTGTTCTTGAAAGGAGGATTTTCCAGATTATTTTGCTTATTTAGAAAGGAAAGTGATTGCCCCGAGGACCAGATTTCACAGAATGATGTAAAAGCATGGTCTTTTTCCAACATCCAATGACCTTCAAGAGTACAATTATTACAAGATATCAGTCAACAAGCCTGTTAGTCCACTTGTCTGCACACTACCTCCTTTTCTTAGAAGTTGAGTTCAATAGCCTCACAAAAACTTCACAGTAATATTAAGGATTATAAACCACTATAAGCAAGGACATTGAGTATGCATCTCTGAAGCATCCTTACTTAACAGTTATGGTCAAAAATGTAATCATGTGAAAACAGCTATCAGCATCTTCAGTACTGACCTTGCAACTAGTGCAATCAAGGAAAGAAGAGTACAAGAAAAAGTGTGGTCACTGACTAAAAGTTTACAACTTAATATATGAACAGTCACAGTTAGATAGCACTAAAGCAGAGAGGTGTTTTTGAGTGTAGTGTTACAGTAATAAATTTTACTAATACAGACAAGTATCACCAGGCTTCACATGAGAAGCCAATTTTCAAGACATTAGTGAACAGAAACAGGTGAGTGGCTGAAGCACAGGTTTATTTAAGATGACCAAAAAGCAATGGATAATCCCTAAAAAGAAAAAACAAAATTGGAGTGTCATTGTCCAGTAGGAAAAATCAAGTGTACAGCAATAGAAAATAACACCTAAATTAGAAGTGATCTGAAGTCTTTGTTTCACATGTTAGTCAGATATCATGTGTTCTTTCATCCTTGGCCAAGAACTTGACCTTCTACTGTCATGACAAAAAATTTTATTCTCAGAAAGCTACTTTTTGGCAAATTTTTCATACCACCTTGTTCTGTCTACGTGACAAAATGAACAGCTACATCCTGCACAACTGAAGATTTTATCTTCTTCACACATAGTGGTTATTAAAGCAAGTGGAAAACAGTCATTCATGGTTTTCATGCATATTTTTTTACAATACATGTTTCCCCTCAGAGGTAACAAACGCATCTTAAGGGCTTCATTAGCTTGGTTTCAATTTTAGTTTGCAGGATGATAGCCTGGAGAAAGGGGAGAGAAGCTGCGTCAAGTAAGTTACGAAGCAATTACTCCTGACATTTCTCTAGCAGACATTTCCTAAATGGAGTCCTTCATGCTACTGTTCTCCATGTCAATAAGGTAGTATCTGCATAACAGATTTCAGGCCAAACATAAAGTAAAAAAACGTATCAGGAAAGTAAATATCCTACCTGTGCATTTGAATGTTGCATTACTCACCTGTTTCTTTTCCATTTCAGCTCTCCTGTTATTACTCCCTTCCAAGACTGCTGCAGCATGACTGCTAGGTAGACTCACAACAGCTTTTGTGACGGACAGTTTCTTAGGCACCTGAGGTGTCACTGGAAAAACAATTTTCATGGAAACAATTCCTTTAAAAACCATACACAGGGATATTTGTCAAGTACTTTTCAGAATAGCACTGATTTCATAATAGCAGTACTCTAAAAGCAGACCTGACACACTAAGTGGGACAATGCAAATACCGACATTTGAACCAGTTACCCTGCTTTCCTTCGGTCAGTGAAAAGAAAGAGACATTTCTACAGCACTATTGATTTTATTCTAAAAGAGATGTCTAAAAAAGGTCAGATTGATTATTTCCTTTATAAAGAGTGACTGTTTACTTCTGCAGCTCATATCCAGCCTTAGATTTATTGACTGGTTACACAGGATCCAACCCCTTAGGAAATCAGTATCTGATTTCCCCAAATGATAGAGGCTTTCACCACTGCTAGTAGAGATAGCATGCAGAACTTTCTGTTCTAGAAACTGAAGTAGGGAAGACTTCACCTTGGTTTAGAACCCGAGTTTCCTAGAACTGGGCATTTATTATTGAACAGCTCTACTATTCCGCTTAGCTTAAGATAGAATTGCACTTTCTGACCAGCAGCCATGGCATTGCATGAACGCGTCCTGAACACCAAACCACACCTTTTATTTGCTCTCTAAAGATTTCAATTATTAATCAAGGAATGAGCCATGTTTAGTTTCCTAAATCCTCCAGGAAGTAGTTCTTGTACATGCAGTATGTAAACCTTTCCTCACTTTCCCTTAGCACTGCTGGAAGTAGGAGTCAGTGAGTTCAAAGGCTCATTTAATCTTTTGTCAGCTCAGTTGTTGACAGAGATAAACAGCCTCCCTTAGAGTCAGTTCCTCTGCAGACCATGTCAAGAGTAGTAAAAGTCTGATCTGTGCTCTGAATGGCCCTCAGATAAGTCTCTCCCTAAGGCGAGTTGAGTGTGAATGTCCCTTGGCCGCTGTCCCTTTGTCAATACCGGAAGCCTTACACATAAGAGGACAGACAACAACACAGGGCAAGCTTCTCCTTCAGTGAAATGTACACTACACCATATCTGGGCATGCAGACTGGTCCAAATTCTGCAGTTATGGTTGGGTCTGTGATAGCTGTGTGTAAGGCAAAGGAGAAGGTAGAAGGAAGGGAAGGGGAGAGGAGAGGTCTGTATGAACTCCCCTGCTCTCCTGTCAGTTACTGTTAACTATTCCAGATATAAAGGTGCAGCAACAAACCCTGGGCACTGTTACAGCCCCGTGCAACTGAAACTGAGCCCAATGCAGCCTCTAACATAGAGGAAAAAAGACTTGTCTGCAATAGGTATTGCTTGGCTAAGGATGAGACTTTATTTTCTCTCTTTCCTTTCACTCCCCCTCAATGTCAACTGCCTGTATGACCTACTGTCCTAGGCTGTCTGCACACTGGTAACAGGAACCACAGGCCCAGCTTTCCTTTCATGACAGCAGTGTTCTCCTGCTGAGAGGATGCTGGCCCTGAGCTTGGCCCTGAGCTTCCTCTGCCTGTGAAGGTCTGGACAGCTGCTGCTGCACACTGCCATACCCAAAGCCCCAGACACCCCCACAGGAGGAAACACCAACCCACACCTTACACTAATTCCCCTCTCCAGGTTATTTCAGAAGTCCCTGCATGAGGCCATCCTCCATATGAAAATGCTCCTTTGCATCCCGGCTGACCTAGAGTCTTCCCAGGAGGGCGGATGAGCCGGGGAACGCCGGAGGCACAGAGATCGGACACACAGCGGGGCCTGGGCGGCTCCGCCGCGCTGCCTCTCGCGTGCAACTGCTGCCATCTTGTGACAATAGGGCTACTCGCCACTGGAGCCTGGGCCGCCAGCTTCCTCTTAATGGAGCTCTTAAACCTGGAGTACGCAGTCATTTCAGAGTCTGGGACCTGCACAAGTGAAAGGAGACAAAACACCACTATTCGTCATGACTTAATATCATGCCATCCCTTCATGCTGTTTCCATGTCGTTGATCAGCCAACCTCAGAGCAACAGGCCATCGAAATGGATGTTGGGCCAAGGACAGCTCCAGTAGTCAGTCACCTGGGTAAAGAAAGTGTGAGGGTGAAAAAAACAGAAAGAATCCCATGTTTATGGTCAGGCAAGTACCCCTGAATCAACTGTCACAAAGACAGACTGTGGCAGAGAAAAAAAAAACGTAATTTGTGTCACTCGTGCACTAGGCTATTGGTACCAGCCTTTGAAAGACCCGAGGCATATTCACACATTTAGTGTAGGCTCACGAGTCTGGTCTTTCCTGAGACATGAGCATTTGGGCAAACCCACATGTGGGCTGTCTGAAACCAGGCTGGTTTTCTGATCTTCACCCAAAGGAGGACTTAGATCTCTTCTGATTTCTGAATCTTCTTATCACCACTGTGGCTTGCTCATGTTATTATTTGTAATGTTATCTTATACTTCTCAATATATTAAGGCAAACTAAATAAAGATTAAATGACAGATTTCATTTACTTTCAAATTCATTCACAGAGCAGTGTGTGTCAGAAAAACATAAAGCATAAGAACATATCAATATTTGAAATGTAAAAGCCTAGAGAATATTGCACACAAGATTTAGTTTTTCAGAAAGCTTTAAAGCAATGTTTTAGATGAAAGTAACAACAGTAAGGAAGCACAACAAGTATAATAGGCTTCTGGATCATTATTAGGTACGCCAGTAAATATTTGTAAAGTATTAAGTCTTGTAAATTATTTTTTTATTTCTGAAATAATATTAGATGCATATTACAAGCCATTGAGATGTAACTTAGACACCAGGATCTTGAATGGATTTTCTAAAATCAAATACATTCAAACCTGCTTTTAAAGTCAGTATTAGTCACCTGTGCTTCCTTGTTGAGTACAGCTTTGTTCATTTGACCACAGTAGTCTGCCTTTCTGTTCCCACCACCAAAACACAACACTCACAGGCCTCACTCTCAGGCAGAGATCAAGCCTCACATGTCCTCATATCACAGGGAACACCCATAGAAATACTGAAATGTCACAGTGTTTCCCAAGTATCTCCCTGTTACACAGAACTGTGCTAAACACTCTATATAACCTTGTTAAACAAAATTAACATGGAACTTTCACTATTTACATACCACTATGATACTGTACAAATCAAGGATAGTTGAGGTGATATCAGAATTACTGAAAAGCAACAGACCCGGAGACTCCAGGTTTCACCTTCAGAAAGTCCCATTCTATTTCATCCTTCAAAATGTAGCCTCAGTGCAGCAAAACATTGGTGTGATAAGAAAAACGGCTGAGACAAAAGCCACTCTTCAATGGTGGTTTGGACTGGAAGGAAAAGAATGTTAGCAGAGACTGACAAGCAACATGGGCTGAAAGACAAGTAATAGCTTAGATAAGCCCAGAGCAGAAATATAAGACAAGGCAAAATCCTGAAAGCTGAAAGGACGAGAGGGAATAGAAAATGGACAGAAGCAAAGAGGGAAGAACTGAGCAGGCGAAGATATGAAGACAGAAAAAAATTATTTTTGTCCATAAATGAGTTGTAACCACTACACGTTGACGTACCTTCAGAAACCAAGAGCAACAGACAAACGTCTTTAAAATATAAAACAATAAAATGAAGACAGGTAAGACACCAGACTTGTGAGGCTCTAAAGTTCAGTGTCTTTCACAACAGCCCCAGCAAAACGCCACTACAGCTGCCTGCCTTACACATGAGTTTCTCAGCTAACTCATTCTTCTCTCATACAGTTAGCCAGTAGCAATAAAAAAAGCAACCCATTTTCCACCATCAGCCCCCTCTCCCATTACAAAAAAACCACTTCATTATTTTCTCTTATGCCAGCTTATAAACAAGTTTAACTCTGACCCACGTGCTGTAAAAGAGTTTTAGAAAGCTGCCTGTGATCCCACAGTAGCTGGTAAGAGGCAGGACTGATGCTATAAACAGGGTGGATTCAGCCATACTGCCCTTATTCTACCCAAAGAGCTGGCCCCCAAACTGCTTCTCCAGGTCTGTCTGATAGCATAGATGACTGCTGCTGAACAATTCTGTCAGGGACATCTGAGGGGCCCAGGGGATGTCCTAGAGCTGCACAGACCAACAAGAGGCCCCAGCAGCTCTCAAGACAGTGTGTAGACAAACACTGGAGTATCCCACACAGGTCACTTAAACAGAACAGTCAGCATCCTTAGGTGACAGGAACACACTTTTCAATAATTTATTTTTATTTTTTCCCCTCAAGAGAGATTTCTGTACTTTACCCAAGAGCTTTAAAACCCAGCAGATGCACTGTGACATGAAACAGCCACCTCTGCAACAGAGACAAAATGAGCAGCTTGTTCTTTCAAGTCCGAGCTGCGAGTTTCATATTACAGCTCCTCCTTCACATTCCTGGCCTGCCCAGGCTCCTCTCCAAAGATTTTTGAAAATGGAGTCTCTCACAACCACTTATCCTCTGAAATACTCAGTGCCCAAAGCCAGGGTCTTTGTCGTCTTTCTGTCAATGGTTTTGTGTACCGCCATTCTCTGCCTGCTGCAACTCAGATTTTTTAAACCTAAAATCAAAGATTTTTATTCTTTCGAAGTCAAGGATTCACGAGGAAGGATCATTTCCTTGGAGAAGTACAGAGGGAAAGTAAGTTACAACTGCATTATAACTTTGTCTTGAATCTTTACTGATTAACAGGTATCCATTTGTAAGTAAACAAAAAGTTTGTTTATGGGTATTTTTGGCAGAGATTTGTGATAAATTCCTGTTCTTAAAACAGTAAGCTGGAGATACAATTATTTTATCTAGGCCTGCTCCAGGAATTAAGTATTAGATCTAATAAATCAAGAAAAAAAATCTTTTTTTCATATTCTTTATTAGAAATTAATATAGCCTAACAGTATGACTTGTGCATTTTAATCTTAGTTAAGAATGGTAGCATGTTGTATTGAATTCTGGAAGTTGATCTAATCAATATGATTTTAGTGCCTGTCCTAAATTCCTGCTTTTTTACATGCTTGTATTTAAACAGAGCTGTAAGTTGAAGTTTATCCATTTACTGGATTTTTAAAACAGGTTGCCTGAAAGTAAGTATCTTAAACTGCTATGATCCTTATCTGTTTAGTGAAATTATGATCAGACAGACTAAATGTAGCTTTCTGGCAGGAGCGACTATGGTGGTCAGAAATGCCATTTTAGGACTTAGTTGTAATCTCTATGCCATCTCTAGTTCTAATTCTTACAATTGTAACTTTATTTCTCTGAAGGCAACTTTGGTTGTAAACGTGGCCAGTTACTGCCAACACACAGACAAAAATTACATCGCGCTGCAAGAACTACACAGAGAGTTTGGTCCCTCCCACTTCACTGTGCTGGCTTTTCCCTGCAACCAGTTCGGAGAATCAGAGCCTAGTTCTAGCCAGGAAATAGAATCTTTTGCCAAAGGAAACTATGGAGTAACGTTCCCCGTCTTCCACAAAATCAAGATCCTAGGATCAGAAGCAGAGCCCGCCTTTAAATTTCTAATAGGTAAGTGTTTTCTTTTCTATATCAAGCTGCCTGTAACCATGGTGTTCTCCCTAAATTCCAGACTGTTTGTCAGGAAACATCATAGCCTTCCTAGTCGATGGAAACAGGCACTCAGCATACAATTCATCTTGTTTCAATGTGGACATTAAAAATATGGCCAGAAGACTTGTACCCTGAAGGCATTTGCTTCTCCTCACAGATTATAACAGCCTACTGTTGCCCCTCAAACACGATTTGTTACCCCATGTGCAACAGCCAATGCTACACACAGAGCCAAGATACCAGTTTATTCCATAAATGCACAAAAATGGGTGCTAGCTTTGTGGAATTACAACCACAACACTGTGACCAGCCCAGCTAGAAACATGCATTTTGTGGATGTATGACATTGAATGTAAAGACTCCCACCTACAAAATCCCCTTTCAAATTATGTGACTGTTGTTGAAAAACAACATTTATTATGGACAAAACTGTAATTATGGGGGGTCATAACATTACTGGAAGATTTTACAGAAACAAATGCAGATGAAAATATTCCTTTTTTTAGCACAGTCCTATGTCCACCTTTATATAAATTGTATTGTAAAGGAGGATTATATATACTGTAGTTACATATAATCACTGATTTGCATTAAGTTGTCTTGTGAACTTTAGGCCCAGCCTACAAAACCAACTTAAAAAAATATTCCTGTTACAGTAAGCATTTACTGACTTACAGTCTCATGCTCTCACAACAAAATGAAACTCTTCAGCTGACCAAAGAGTTCACAGACCCAGAGCCAACTTGAAAAGCTGCTATGAATGAATTTCCTGAGCTTTTGCCGGATCTTTGACCCGTACTAAACCCTGACTTATGAAAGAAAGGATAATTAGAACATAACCCTTCTCTATCACAACATTTTAACTAAAAAATAAAGCAAGAAATGGCTTAAACCTGTATTCCATCTCCCTGCCCCAAGACAGGATCAGTTACCAAATTAGCACTACATGTGCTTCTCCAGACTATTACAATAGTCATATGAGAGATTCCAAAATCTCCCAGTCTATTCCAGTTTTTCACAGCTCCTCTTCTTAGAAAGCTATTTCAACTTCTAAATAAAATCTTTCTCACAACACTTAAGTCTGTTGCTTATTGCCATATTCTGTTATACTTATTATGTACTTGAAAATTACTGTAATTTAGGAGACATTTAAGCGGTCACCACTGTCACTGTCACTGTCTTTCTTCCTACCGCCCCTTAGGCACGTTGCCAAAGACCTCAGGTAAAGCCTCATTGCTCTGAGTTGCCTGATGTCCAGTGGAATTATTGAATGCGCTCTGAAGGTGCCTCTTAGTTCTTTATAGAGGAGACTAGAGTATATAGGTACCAGCTGGGTGGGATGAATCTAGATTCTAACTACCAGCACAATCAGTATCACCTATTAATACCTATACAGAAGCAGAACAACAATATTCACTCAGTTGGTTCTTATTTGACATGCTGTTCTCCTCACCCACAAGACGGAAAAAGATCCTCTGGTACTTAAATATTTTGAAATAAGGTCTGTCTTTTTCTGCATTCCTCTGCTTCACATGAAAGTACTGTGCATCTTCAACTAAAGAAGCACCTGTTTTCTTCATGTAGCTGTCTTGACAATCAGTAGGTTGAACATCCTCATGCTACACCACCTTGTGACTGTAACTGTTAGCTACGATTTGTCCAGCACTGTCAGATAGTCTAGCATAAGAAGAATCCACTGGTAGCAAGAACCTGGTGCCAAGGCCTTTGCACAACTGCTTCTTGTTACTTTCATAGCAGTGAGGCATTTTGTTGTGCCAGTGTAAGGTTTGTGGCCACACCCTTCCTCAAATAATGCCCAGGTTCCTATGTGTTTGTTCTTTGAGTTATTCATACGCACTGATGAGCACTGGAAAAATATTCAGAGACGGGGTTATGTTACTTCAGGACTGATCCTGGATACAACAACTCAGCAAAGACGTAATTACTAGCTGAGCCAGAGCCTCCATGATATGAGCTTTACCATACCCATTTGCTTGCCATGGTGTCCCCTTACAATGATGACATTACAAATGCAGTCCAATGGCAAAATTCAACCTGTTACTTCCAAGAATTGGTGTAGGGTTCACTGTTCCCCACTGAACACCTGTTCCTCAGTCAAAATTTCCTGGAGTTTTCCTTCTTGTTCTCTCAAAAAGAGATTTCCCTCTAAACCACTGAGACTCCCCGAGGAAAAAGCCTGAGTGAAGACACTGCTTCTGCCTCCTCTACGAGCCACATGGCTTCCTGATAGCCCCTTGATGTCAAAAATATCTTGCCATGTATTCATGATAGCAAAGATACCAGTAAGGTTTTGCCTCATGGGATGAAAGGAGCTGAATTAAACCATTACCAGTATGACTTCCTGTTCCCATTTCACCTCCCCTAAACTGACATAAAACTGGGGATTTTCCAAGTGAGTATGCAGCCCTCATCCTCCTCCCTAGGAAGCAGAGGGTAGTAAAAGTAGGAACTCTTGAACAGTTTCACAAGAAGGGGAGAATATCATTCACTTATCACTTTTCAGATCATTAACGCCAATCCATGGATAGTAAATCCATGCACAGACTACCAGCAAAGGAACACAGTAGGATTACTTCAACATAAGCGGCTGAAGATTCACTGCAGGGTAATAAAACAATGACAAGTGTAAGTCACTAAAATGATCTGATTCCATTCTTACAGATTCTTCAAAGAAAGAGCCTCGATGGAATTTTTGGAAGTACCTTGTCAGCCCTGAGGGTAAAGTTGTGAAATTTTGGAGACCTGAAGAGCCCATAGAAAGTATCAAGCCAGAAGTAGCATCATTAATCAGGCAGATTATCATGAAAAAAAGAGAAGACCTCTGAAAAAGCCATTCACACTGTGAATCCATTCAACAACGTGGGTGCACAGCCTTACTACGTTCCTGGGAAATGCTGCTAGAATCTTAACCATCAAGTGATTTTACTTCTCTTTGGTGTTAGCATTTTCAGCTACAGTATGTCTATTAATATTGGACTGGCTCCTGCAGCAGTCTTGAGAACCACTGAAGTTACCAAGAATAGCAAGACACTCAGTACTTTGCAGGGATGGACCTTCAATTTGCATAAAGTTTCTGGATGTTTCTTTAAATTGCTGACAATAGCTAATTACAATTGTCACCAGAAGGGAGATAAGTAAAAAGAGCATTTGTTGTTAAATTACTCAGTATTTGCACAGAAGAATTTTGTTTCCCATCTATCAGTAACATACAGATTTTGATATTCCATTAACACATAATTGCCCTGACTGAAAGACCTGAGGCCCAGAGGCACCATGGCAGGGTTTTTAGAAACAAATGCAACTGGAGATACTAGCTTTGCAATATCTTCTCAAGGAAGATTACTGACTTGTGAAGCTGTCAACTTAGTTGTAAAAAAAATGTACATAGAAAATAAAATTATTAAAAGAAAAGATTGCAAGAATATTTCCTTGCCTACATTAATTTTATATTTCACCTTTATAGCAACACCTTTAATCTCTTTAGCCTTTTCCATGTATTTGCACTGCAGTACAGTGCCTCGGCTGTGAGCTCATCTCCTGCTGGATTCCCAGTCTTCTGACCTGGATGAAGGCAGGGCCTGTGTCAACATACATGGATGCTTATGGCAGGATTCAAGCAGCAACAAAAATCAACAGCCTAGTACTCTAACAGACATCTTTCTGAGCCAGTCCAAAACAATGCTCCCCAGACATCTACCTTGCATCTCTGGAATAAAACAACAGTCCCCAAGTAGAGGTAGAAGAAGGGGGTGAAGGTTCATGCCTCATGTCCCACTCTTCTCACCCTGCAATCTCCCCAGTCCTGTATGGAACTGCAAATCATTTCCAATTCTGTTCCACTGTTCGATTTCAAACTGGCAAGTACTTTGATTTATCTGTTTGATGAAGGTAGGCAGTAAACTAGAATAAGGAACCTCACTCCAGCTGTCCGAATCTCAAAGGAAGGCTGAGAGAATAGGAATAAGAGAACCAGTCTCTCGGAAGAGTTTTCTATATGAAAAAGGACTGGTAGCATTAGTGCTATTCTCTTGTAAGACCAGCAGTGACTGAAAATACCTGAAGCGCTTCAAAACATTTTCTAATAAAGATAGCCACTTAACTGTATTGAACGGGTGAGAAATTCAAAAGCAATTAAAAAAAAATAAAGTATCAAAAAGATTCATCTATGGAATTCATGGAGAATTTCATGGAAAACCCCTGAAGGATAAAGACATAAAAAGATTTTAGAAGACTGATGTGGAAGATTAAACAAAGTCACCCTCAATAATGACAACCATCATTTTGGAAGGGAAATCAAACATTATGCATGATAATTTTAGCCACTCTAACTTTCAGTGATCAGTTACGGCCTATATACAGGTCTAGTTAGTCCAAACTTACGTACCACTGGTGTTTTAGCCCAGCCTCTGACCTGTCTGCCGTTAGGCCACGAGTTTCCACATACAACCTGTCAAGACAGTTCCTGTTCTTATGCTGAGGGCCTATGTTTTACTCCAGTCTCCTCACGCACGTACACTTCCAGCCTTGAGAGCATTTAGTGGGACATGTCAGGTAATTTTTATCCCATGTCCTTGCTGCTTTGATGGAGAGGAAGGGAACTGAGATATGGATCCTCTCCCCTCACTGGAAGCTGTCTAAATTCCACAGAACTAAGTGGCAGCACAATGTTTTTCCCATAAATGGTGGATGGTATCTTTACTTGAAAACACACATGACTAAAACATGCATGTCCATTCATGTGCACAGCTGTAGCTCCCTGCTTTTCTTGTCACTGAATAAAAAAAAAAAAAAAGGTAGGTATAAAAGTAGGTATAAAAAAATGTTGGGTGCTGTTAGTGGAACACCTGAAAAAAATCTATTTTGGTCCTGGTATCGCCTGAGAGTTATTCAGCATATGGGAAATTTCACTCAAGTTCTTTAAATACCTTATGAAAAATAACCAGTGCAATATAATTTTCTAGATTGGAAGGGATCAGGAGGAGAGGGAGTGTGCACACCTTGCTTGTGATTCACTCACTAAAGCTCACATTCTCTTTTTCACAGGATACACTGTAATCTTAAATAAATCAATGCCATCATTAAGATCAAGTATCTTTCCCGGTATTCAGAAACAACATGGGATATCAGCAAATGAGTGGAGAGAATTATTTAACTCACTGCTTTCTGAATTGCTTCAGATTCCTAGAAAAATAAGGTTTTGCCTGAGAAAACAGTTATTGAATTTCTTATTTCACCATTTGGTCCCAATACACTACAACCATCTTCTGTAGAAATTTGAATATAGATACCATTCAGTCCTGAATCTACACAGAGTTTAAGTTTTACAAAGGTTATTGTTAATTAACATTCCTCCAAAAACTCAGTACGCTTCTATTACTTACTCTTCTTGAGACATACCAATTCTTCCAATGTAATAGTTAGGGCAGATCACCGATACACTAATCACTTCTTTCTTAAAACCAAGTTACCAGTTATGCAGGGTAAAAATAAAGCATCTTTAACCATGAAATCTACACAGACTTGGAAAGGCAAATAAATAAAATGAAAGTTAGGACACAGTTATACAAGCACATTATTTATCTATAGTCAAAAGCCAAAAAAGTAATATGAATATATATTTGTATAAATATCCACTTACAATTTATGTAGGATATAGCATATGAAACAATACTAAACTACAGACACTGTAAACAGATTAAAACTTGTATGTTGGATTCTGAAATAATTCCACCAATTTAAGATAAAACTGCCCTCTTAAGGTTAACAGAGTTCAGTCCATGAGTGTTAAAGTTTCTTCAACTCCATCTGAGAATAATCTACTGCATCCTTCATCCTAACACTTCCTTCATTCCTATCTCATGCTTCCCTTACTCCTTAGGTCTGAAATATCCTTATTGTCTCCATTTAACCGTCAGCTCCTCTTTCCAAAAATTTGCCTGGGAGTGCAAATACTCTAAATCCATTTCAGTCACTGTTTGTACATGTCCCTGTTAACGCAAGTATTATAAGAAAATACTTGTTTGCTGAGTCCACACATCAATGCTCCAGTAAAAATTTAGTGGTGCAAGAGAAACATATTGACATAGGACCCAAGCTGAAACTCTTAACACTCACATAATTCTGTAGTTTTTTTAGAAACTAGTTGGACTAGCTGTATAAGTGTGTCAAATACAGTTACACTTATTTTTGTACCCTACATTCACTCACTTTGCATAACCTAGCACAGCTCCTTTCAGTCAGGGGAACTAGACAGGCACTGGTCCTCATATCAGCTAAGGATCCGATGAGATTTTCATAATAACTCTTTACACTCTTGTCTCAACAGTAATGTGCTAATGTGGCAGTGTAGTCAGTTGCTGGTGTATGAAGGACAGCTAACTAACAATACACTGCCTAATCACCACACACAACAGCAGGATCACTCTGATTCTGCAGACCTTCACATTGATGCTATTTTTCTTCCTAGGAGACCTACACTTTACAAGGCATGTATCACAGCACCAGATAAAGCAAGTCATAATAAAGAGTTTCTTTAGTATTCTCTAAGTGCCTGAAGTGCCAGGACAAGGTTAGGGGCAACACTCAGTTGCTCATGGCAGTATGTTTGATAGAAACTTGTCGTGTAACACGAATCAAAAGGATCAGTGTGCTTCCAGCCTTTATTCTTCTCAAGTGTAATATCATGTCCTGTTCAAATTGTGTGTCCTGGTTGGTGAGACTATGTGCAGTTGTTTTAATGTACTGCTGTTCAGAAATTAAGATATTCTGAGAAGCGAGGGGAGAAGACACCCTGAAGTTGACTTCTCTTTTTTTTTATAGAATGGGAAGGTAATTATTTTCCAGATACAGCATTCAGGCAGTTAGTGAGAGTGATATTAAGCCTTTCTAGCATCTAATTACTCAGTTAAAAAAAACCCAACAACCTCCCCCCACAAAAAACAACCATCAACTGGCATTTGCCATATGTTATTATAAAAAAAATAAAATCCAACTTTAAAACTTATGTGAAGTCCTTCTTTAAGAAAACTCCCACAGCTTAAAATTGCTTGAAATGTTTGAACTGTTTTACCTGTTTCAAGTATTTATAAAATTCCTGTTACCTTGGTATCTAAAAGCAGATGAAAACCAGTTTAAATCAACCAAAAATTCTCACAGATCTTTGGATAACGGTGGATAGCAGAAATACAAGTCACCACTGTAATACCAAAAATGAGTGTCAAAAAAAAAAAGCAGTAATCGGGGCCCCCTAAAAGATTCCTTATACAAAAGCAGCAGCTCTCCATTTTGATGATCAAGGTATGTGGAAAAGGATAGCAACTGCATGTGAGCTGATGTCAGAATTTCAACCAGCTAACATACACTGCCATCCCATCACACACAGATGTACCACCTGCATTCCTGCAAATCAGAACCCTCGCCCTTTCCAAATGAATCGCCTTCAAACAGCGACGAGCTGGCCCTGCAGCCGGCGACAGTGCAGTAGTGACTGCTACGTTCAGATACAGCAGCCAGCTAGCAAGTACACTGTCTACCAGACACAGAGTTCATGCAGAGAGGTACGTCTCATGAAATAACATGCCTGGAAACATCTCTTATTTTCTAACTAAATTCAGCATTGTTCACCTGTTTTGAGGTTTATGTTTCATATATGTACATATACAAGTTCAAGCAGCAAATACTGTCATGAAATTAACGCCACAGGTAAGTTTCTGAATCAGCAAGACCTGAAATAAAAGTACTAGCATAAAAGCCTATGCAGAGTATGACTAGAATCACATCCCAGACTGTACAAAAGGAACTGTAAAGTGTTGCAAACAGTTTCTTGCCTTAATTGTACAACCACCAGTATAGTACGGTTTCTCCACAGGTTGTAGTTATCATACACATTTACTTCAGTCCTTTTCTCCCTTGGGCATGCATTTACTGTCACTGTTGGAACCCAGCCCTTAGTCTAGATGAGCCCAGAGTCCAACTCAGTGTATTCCATTTTAGGTTATTTCAAAATTAGAATTATCACTGATTACTCCATAGTGCAACTTAACTTTGTTTAGTGCACTACGTGCAACCACTTTGTTAATTGGTGATAATCCACACTGTACCTCCAATTACAGCCACATAATGGAGGATACATAAAGACCCCCAGATTCAACTTTACAGATTTAGGCTGGATGGAGGTAAAAGTTTACCTACAACATCCATTTTCACGGAAAGCCCTTTGAAGTGACACTGGAAAGCAGCCAGAGAGTTAGACACTTTGTACAAGTCAGTTAATAACAAATTTGAAGTCTTTCCTCTGCTTCTTAAAAAAATGGTCTTAAATCACCCAAAATAAATTTCAACTCAATACAAAACCGTAAAACATTTACTTGCCTGAGTGCTGCTGTTAACAGCCACAGAAAAGCACTGGCTAATTGAATTCTGCTTGTTCCACAGCAAGAGGAGGCCACCTCTGAGTTTTCTGCGACGGTTTTGAACAAAACAATACGGAGTGCAGCTAGCAGCTGTTGACACAGGAGAGACAACAGCAGGCTAACATGCACTGCCAGATTGTTACATTCTCCTGAGTTTCGGCCATTAGTTCCCCCCTACCACCACCACTCCCCTAAAGTTTCTCCTCCTGGAGCCCAGTTGTTGATCACTTTAACAACATGGCTTTTCCCATGGAGTCACTTACATCAAGTATCTGTTAGAGCAACATTCTCACCACGCTGGTGGCTACACTTCCATACTGTCATTGTATCTAAGGGCACACTGTTCACCTCCTACTTCAGTATTTTCAGTATGGTCAATTCCTTTTACACCTTCACCTCCCACTCCACCAGTTTTCATATTGCAGTCTCACCAGGTCGTGTCACCTATGTCAACTCCTCAAGGCACCAGCTGCCTGCATTTTGCCTCTTGCTTACTGTCCAGCACATTGTTGGTAATTAATAGGTTTTCCACCGATGTTCCTACTGTATATGCAAGTTCTTGGTTGTCCCTTTTATCTTCACCACCCTCTACATGTGGACAAGTCAGCCTGCAGCACTAATTAAAAAACAACTCTGTAAATCCATACAACGCCTTGACAGTGCGATAAGGAGTAATAGGAAAGGAAGAAAATAATATAATAATTTGTTTTTTTCAAAAATAATGTATTTACACCAGTTTCATCCTCTCCTCCCCCAGAAATGTAAAGAGGGGAACTCCTTAGTGCAGTGGATACTGCAGAGGAGTGTGAATGTCCGTGCCTGCCCTTACCTTAGCTGCTTGCTGTGGGCATTGCACTCTGCTGCGCTTCAGGTCTTTTCCAAGCGTTCTCATCACCTTCTCCTTGAAAGAAACACAGCGGCACAACACTGGACAAACGCGTGGCTCACAGTTTCTTCACCTTACATCGCCCTCCACCCAGCCTTGCCGCTTGCCACGGCCGCCGGGAGCAGGCAGAGCCCCCCGACTGGCCGGGAAGCCGTCCGCCAGGCCGGCTCCTCGGTCGTGACCCTCCCCAAAGCACCGACAGTCCCCGCAGGCCACCTTGAGCCACAGCAAATCCTCAACCCTCCTGCTCGTCCTCCGGGCGAGTTGTTTTTTTGTTGTTGTTGTTGTTGTTGTTGTTGTTGTTTTTTGGTTTTGTTTTGTTTTTTTTTTTTTTTTCTCATTTCCACTCCATCTCCGCCGGGGGCTGACTGAACCTGCTGCCGCCCCAGGCGAGGTGACCTTACCTCGAGGTGGGTGCCCGGGGGCGAGGCGGCCCGCCAGGCAGGAGGACGGGCGGGCAGGGCAGGTGCCCGGCAGGCAGCCGGCACGCACGGCCACCTCCAGGGATGCAACTTATAGCCCGGGCAGCCCTCGGGGCGCCAGCCCCTGCCGCCCGGGAGGCGGTGCCAGCCCCGCCGCCGCGCAGCCCGCCCCGCTCCCCAGCGGCCGCCGGCGGCCTGGAAGCATCCCGCAGGCGCGGCCGCCGAGGCGGGAAGCGGCGGGCGGGAAGCGGCGGGCGGCGAGGCGGCCCGGCCGCGCCCGGCCCGCCGGCGGGAGGCAGCGCGCCCGGGCTGCGCGGCGGCGCCAAGGAGTGGCGGCGGCCGGCGGCAAAGGAGCGCGGCGCGGCGGGCCCCGCGGAGAGCCGGGGGAGGGGGGGGTGCGGCAGGGGAGGGCAGCGGCGCCGGCCGGTGCCGAGCAGCCCTGGCGCGACCCTCGGGACGGGCGGGCGGCGAGGCCGTTCGCCCCGGGCGGACGCTGCCTGCCCCTCGTCGCGGCCGGGAGGTCGCCGCCGCGGGGCCTTGTCCTGAGGGGCTGCTCCCGTGGCCGCGGCCCCTTGGCGTTCGGGACGCCGCCGCCTCGGCCCTTGGCTGGGGAATGGAGCGGGGGGGGGGGGGGCAGCTTGGGCAGGCTTCACGCACAACAGCCCCTCACGTCGGTCCGTTTCTGGCGAAGGTTTCGGCCGGCAGCGAGGAGTCCGGCGCACCCAGGCAGCAGCAGCAGCAGCCGGGGCGCAAGGCCTGGGGAGCAGTGCCTCTCTGAGGCGCCCCAGCCTGCCTCTCCCAAACCGGGGGCCCGGGCAGAGGCCAAACCTACGTCACCGCGTCTCCCAGTCCTGTGCGCTGGCCAGTCCTGCGGCGTAACGGCAAGTGAGCAAAACCCAGCCGCCACCATAAACGGCCAGACTGGTAGAAATAACCCACAATCATTTGCTCTTGTGTGGCAGGCAAAGGCAGAAATTGTAGGAGAAAGCGTGAAGAATTACTTAATCCCGGCAGATGAGTTGCTCATGCACGTGTTTTATGGTGTGCAGTTGGTAGGGGAATTGTATGTGCCCTTAGGCCTTCACTGGAGAAAGCTTGAGAGCAGATATGGTAGGAAAGAAGTCAGGCGTGTTTTTATTGGAAGATAACGTTTAGTTAAATCCAAAGAGATACGAAGGGAAAAAAGGGGTTACTGCTACATCTTCTGTATTTTTTTTCAAAGTAAGTTCAGAACTGTCCTTTTTCAGCCCTTACTATAGTTTCAGAATTCGGAGTGATGCCCATTGGGTTTTCAAGCGGCAGAAGCTAAGACACACAGCATGTAAAAGAGCTCATTTTTTCTCTTTCTACATTTTGAATCTGAGAATCGCCATTAAAAGTGTTATTTTCTAAGAGAAAGAAACAAAGAATGCCACTCCTAAATACATGTTCAAAGTTTTCTTCACTTTCTTATGGTTTCACTTTTTTTCCCCCAGGGGAACTGGAGACATTTTTCTAAATTTTTGGTTGGAAGAGTATTATCTGAACCCCAAAAAAATCTGAAAAAAATCTTCTCATGTAAGGTCCCATCTCCCACTCAGTTCTACTTCTATAGCTGAACACATCACATCTGCACAAGGACATAATCTAAGCAAGGCGATGGAGGAGAATATTGATGACTGAGTTACAGGGAATACTTAAATATCAGATGATAGATCTGTTTTGCCAAATCAAAGTAACACTATTTCAAAAATGCCATTTTATTATCTTGCTTTGTATTGATAAAGACACAGCTAAGCACACCCAGGATACAAGTGTCTGAGTCACTCAACACCATTTTAATGCTTTCTGTAAAACAAACAGCAAGGCATTGCTAGAATGCCATCACAAAGGATTGTTTGCAATGCTTCAGTTGTTAATTTAACTGAATGTGAGCTCTTCCAACAAGGCCAACGTTCAGCAAGCACTGCCAGCTAGCGTTACTCTCCCTAACAGCAGACGCTGGCATGCACTGCAAAGCCAGCTCACTTTAATACTCAGTGAGCTACCCTCGGGTGAAGTGTATTGAACTGTTACCTTCAGACCAGTGTTTGGGCCTCTTAAGCTTTTGCTCGCACTGTAGGAGTTTACTTCAGATGAGCAAGCCTGTAAACATGCAGTTTGATAGCGGAAGGAAAGAGGTTGCAGTCTGAGCACTGTATGGTTGTAAACTGGAATAAAAGTCAAAAGTCTTTCAAAGTCAGCAAGGTTTTGTTTGAGTGAATTAGAATTAGGATTAATTAATGCAGAGCAAGGCGTTAAAGAGTAAATAATATGACCCACTGCATTTGGTGTTACAAGCAGTGATTTCTGCCGATGGACCTTCAACTCACGCATGAATGCACCACAAACAAGTTACAAGAAACGATTTAGAGGTTTTCCTGTAAAGCTCCTTCCGAACACTGATCAGAAAGTGGAAAACATGCCAAGATACTATGTTCTCTAGTTGCCTTAAAATAAGTAGATCCCTAAATGAAGTCAGTGGTACACAAAATCCAGAAATAAGCAGAAGTGCCATGAGGAAGTCTGAATTCCTTTGTGTTTCTTAAGGAGGACGGGTTGGATTGTTAGGTATTACCAAGGATTATCCTTAAAACTCTTCTTCACTCGAATTGCCTGGTATTTTGGAAATGTGGCAGGTAAAAGCTCTGTTGTCACTTAGAAGTTGTAGCTGACTTTTAAAGGAGTTTTGATTTAGAAAAGCTGTCCACAGCTAAGTGTATCGCTTCTGAAATTCTTCCAGAATCTCACTAAATGTCTTAAAAGTGAAATGAAAAGGTCATCTTAGTTAAGCGTCTTCATTTCTTTCTCACTGTGGACTCATTTTAGATTCGTCATTATGAAACCTATGCAGCCAATTGCTCAATCATTTCACTTGCGTACTAGAAACGTGGCTGAATTTTTGTAGCTTGCATAAAAATTCTCCGGAGCCAGTATGTAAAAACCATGTAGTTTGTCTCCGCTGGCAGCAGATGGTGCTGGTATGCTGTTGCGTTGTACGTGTTTGAAAGCTGGTGTTCAGGTTCTCAATCCCATAGTAGTTTATTTTTTTCTCATCCACTATCCTTAAGGTCTTTTGATACGAATTTGTCATCATCATCAGACTTCAGAATTTATCGAGATAAAATACAAGTTCATAGTTTGAAGGTGAGGTAGCAAGCCTCACAACCTTGTCAGAGAACTAAGCACTGACTGGTACACCACATTTCAGGAAAAGTTGAATTCAGCACATCCAGACTGCTGAACAAGGACCACTAATACCTGTAGGGACCAGCTATCTCAGGACACGGTAATAAAAGTGCTCCTTGCCAAGTGATTGCTGACAGAGGTGATGCTAGTTTATACCAAGTTATGGCAAGTAGAAAGATCATAAGAGCTGGTTATAGAAAATTGTCTTAAAAGTTATAGATCACAGGTTGTCTCCATGTCAGTGAAAGAGAGAGGTGAAAAAAAAAATGGTCTGTAGATAAGTTTCTAGGAATCTATTTCTTAAACTAGTTAGAGAAACCTTCGTAGCTAAGGAGCACAGGACCTTGGACATCGAGGGCATACTGGGCTGAATACTGTTCCAGAGAGGATGTAGTCACTGTCCGTGATACCCAGTTGGATAAACTAAGAAAGGTGTAACAAATTATTTTAAGAAAAAAATTACCCTTTTGGAAATGTGAGGTATCTGAATAAGATTTACCACAGTTTTGGGCTGCTGTTTGAAATAGGTGGGGAAAATTTGTTGAACGTATTTTGGGGAAAATTTGTTTCCATTATGCAGTTGCAAAGTGGTGAGAGGTTTCTGGGATCTGAGGCCTCTAACCTCCTGCCAGAGAGAAAATGATGCCCCAGCTTTGCTAAACGCTCACACAGCAGAGGTCTTGAGGTACAGAAACATTTTATTTTTTCTTCCCGTATCTCTTCACTGATCTTTCTAGCTCTTCAGCCAGCATCCTGGAAAGATCCCAATCTTGTTGCCTGCTCAGTCATATCACTACTCAGATGCTTCTGCATGGGTTAGAGGAAGGGTTCTCACAGTGGTACAGGGCCAACCATGGGGCCTCTCTAAGTGACTGACAATAGTAATAGGTAGTGGATCCCATTTATAAAAGGGAGTTTTGGCCCTCAAAGTGTTTCTAACTTCAATGGAAAGCAGATAAAGGATGGGGAAGGAAGGAATCAGGAAAGCGAAGGGACTCGGTTCACGTGGCTATTCTCTTCACAACATTTCATACTGCAGTGAGCAACCATTATTTAGACTCCAGTATGAAATACTGTTGACCAGGCAGCTGGAATATACTGGCAGTGATGCCACAGCTCCATTTTAGTTGTACAAAGCATGGGTTATTAAGATTCTGAGGACGAGGGCAGAAAAAAGTCCCTGCTTCTTTGCTGGGGCTGACACTAAGCCATGCATTTAACATCTCAGCCTGGTAATCTGCTCATCCGACATCTCCCATTTCATTTATCTTTGCCAGCACACTAAAAATGGTAGTGAACATGTGGAGAATGAGCTCTAGAAGTGACTGTCCACTATTCCTCAGATGAACCTCAACACCTCAGACATTAAGGAAAATTATATCTCCTACACAAACAAGTGAGAAAACAAAAGCCCTGTGATTGTTCCTTGTGTGGTACATTCTGTCACTGCAAGTAAGCTGCATTATGTGGATAGACTAATACATAACAGATGGAGTACTGTCTTTATATTTTTGTAACTTTTGTCCATTTGTCCCACACCTTTCCCTGTACCTAAACTTCTTTTCTTTCCAATGTTAAATTTAGTACTAATGACCAGCCTGGTTGGCAAGTGTGCTTAAGTAGACTGAAGATCTCTTTAGCTCAGGGAGGAATTTGTGTCATCTGTCAGTTTTTGACTTGTAAAAGATTTTTATTGGTTTAAAAACAGAGGGGAAAAAAAAAAAAAAAAAAG